ATGTAATATTCAACTGAATATTGATAGGAGCCTATATCATTTTCATTGGCTCTTTCCCATTTGGGAATACCGTAGTAATCTCCACTGCTGTACTGTTTAACTTCCTTCCTGAAAGATTGCTTTTTCATGCATGCTGAACCCTGTAGTAATCACTCGGCTGGCACGCACTCACACACACACACGCACACTCACATACAGTCACGCACGCACACTGACAGACAGACACATACACACATGCACTCGAATACACACGCACGCACGCGCACACACACATACATACGTACGTACATACTTACTGACATATACAGACAAACAGACAGACAGACATGCAACATATTCCTTTAACTAACATGCTCACAGTATACGAGTAGCACAGAAAACATGACGATACACGACCACATGACTATCACACACACACACACACACACACACACACACACGTATACATACATACAACATATTCCTTTAACTAGCATACTCACAGTATACGGGTAGCACTGACAGCATGACGATACACGACCGCGTGACTATGAGGTATACAATCTGAAAACTATCTTCTGTGTCAAGATATAGTCAAACACTTCCGCATTGGGGAAATCCCCACATCACGTTATGACGACGCAAGCTTTTTTACTTTGGAAAACATGTTATTGAGTAGTCTTACAGTTGTATAACAAGCTTTGAAAAGTATTTTAATCATATCAAGGAGTACTGTAGTCACGTGGTGGTATGAATGGAAATGGTGTTGGCAAGACTAGAGCCACAATCACGAACTTTGTACTGTAAAGTTACTAGATCTGGTCCCGATAATGAATTAGTTCAATGAGCTTTCTGAATACACACATGTCCCCTTATCGTGATCGGTTTAACGCGTACGGTACATGTCCACGGGACCAGTACGTACGGTTTGTAAGACTAATTTTGCAATTGCATCAGAGCCATGTAGGACATGAAAACTTGCTATTTGGTTTGTGGAGGACATAAAAGTTTATTATTGCATTGTAAAGCTGAACATATCCATGCATTACATGGACTCCCTGCGTAGCAGCAAGAACTGTTGGAATTCTATGCCTATCGATATACACAGGTAGTGGCGTCTATACTACTGTCTCAGACTGTCACAACGGACAGGGATCCTCACGTGTGTTCCACCGTCTCACTTTATCGGTAAACCCAGACAGCATGGCTAATATTGTTCGTGTTGGTCAAGATTCCGACAGCAGGGATGTTCATATTCGCCCAGTGTGCCGTCTCTTAGAATCTCAGCGCATTGTGATTTCATTGTGCATTTATGTATACATGTACGATTTCCCTACCTGTTGCGTAGTGACAGCTGTTGTTTCTGTTTTAAAACTGAAAGTTTACAACATTTTGATTTCAGAGGCCCCAAGGGATATTTTTTATCATGTGTGTTGATATGATCCTAGATAATGGCCAAGACAGACAGCAAAGTAACCTACAACCACGAGCAGACAAACAGAGGTACGCCCAATCTCATTTACAATCAAAGGTACGAGCTCACCATAATTCCCAATTTCTATGTGTGCATCTAAATATTTCTGCTATACAGTGTACTCCTCTTAACCGACATCGCTCGGGGCCGGTGGAAAATGTCGGATTAAGAGATGTCGTTTAGAAGGAGTTTTGAGAAACTCAATCTAAAATTTATACTGTACACAGACAAAATTAAACAACCACAGTGAAATGTATGTTTATAGCAACGTCTCTTTATATAAAATATTCACTATGTAATAGCAAATGATACAATATTTAATTATACTTAATGATGAATAAAGAAGTCAGTCATGGTGGTTTGGTGGGTGGTCAGAAGTTTTTTGCTTAAGAGCACAGTGAGTGCCTTACACAACTCTTGTGCATTTATCCATGCGACAACGAATCATAACGAACACCTAACATGTGATTTCACCAAGCTATGTATCCATTAAACAAGTAATTAGCAAGGAAACACACAGAGACACGCACACACAGACACAGACAGACAGGCACGCACGCGCGCTCGCACACGCACACACACACACACACACACACACACACACATCACACTCACACACACACACACACACACACACACACACACACACACACACACACACACACACACACACACACACACACACACACACGCACACACATTGCATACGGCCTGGATTGCGGCTCCAGTATCCCATGTACACGCTCAGGGTCTAAGGATCAGGGCACACAAATAGATACAACGATGCTAACCGAAAGAATAGTCACCCTTTATGCTTATCATAAATACATTCACCCAGAAATATCCTTATTGTTAACATGAAATCTTGAAATCTTTTGTGTTGGTAAAAATCATGATTTCTATGCGACAATCATTATTTTAGACACCATGTAAACAGGAAATGTTAGTTCATTTAATTGTTTTGCTCATTGATTTGATATATCTGGGCGGCGAGCAGCCATCATAATCAAGTCAAACCCATTGGATTTATGCCGGTAACATTCCTAGATTTGGCTAACTGTCATGGTTGGCGTTGACTGAAGAATGTTGAGAATGTCCTCCCACTCTATCGTACATCTGCCATTGCATCTCCACAATGCTTTGACAAGGACCAGGCCAGTGGCAGATCTGCCGTTCTTCTCCTTCCACTTGGTCAGCATGTGTACAATCTGCATATACAGTGAACATGGGTGTGTAACTTTGCCTTGCTCCATTTTAACGAGAGTAAGTTCAAGCTCGATCCCGACAGACTCGAACCCGATCCCCAAGTGACTTGCAACACGGCCGAGATCCGCCCTTGAAACAGGCTGCTTTAATGTTTCCTCATCTGCATCATAAAGCAAAGTACGGAATGAAGGACCTAGAAAATATGTTTTAGTCAGTAAATACATACTTTGAAAATAGTAGATGTAAATGATTAAATCATGATTATCTCTCTGAACGATGACAGTAATGTTTACATGAAATGTATTAGTTTCAACGTAATCATCCAGAGAGTATAACCAGTAACATTTAAAGTAACGAACCCAGTAAAGTTGTTGATTGATTGCAGGGACGTACCACCTCAGTGTCTAATCTCTGAAAGAAAACGTAAACGTCTTTCAACCCGTAAATACAGTTTTCCCACAGGCACATAATATACGAGTTGATTGTCTCTATGAAGACCCAGGTTTCTACAGAAATGAGTGAGTCAACTTGCAAGTAGGGTAGGTAAACTGGGGGTGTAGGTGAAATGAGACTGTAGGGTAATGGGTGTAAACCTTTGACAATAGTAGATATGAATGATTTAATCCTGATTATCTCTCTGAACGATGACAGTGATGTTAACATGACATGTGATATCAGTAACGCAGCCCCCATCTAGCGAGTGTAACAAGTAACATTTACGAACCCAGTATATTGTTATCGATTGATTGGAACGTACGATCCCAGAGTCTAATCTCTGTAAAAAGTGTAATCAGCATTCAGACTGTAAATATTATATACCCAGATGTACATAATATACGGGTTGGTTGTTCAGAGAGTAAATGAAAGGGGTATTCTATAATAGTGACCGTGTAAGGTTTCGAGTCGTTGTAACACTATGTAAGTTGCATCAACCCGTGTCCGATAGATGATTGGGATAAGAACGGGGTTAGGGAAGGCTTATCACTATGCTGAAGATCAGGAGGGACACCCCACGGTGTCTGTGCCTATTGTTCAGTCGGCCATGATAGATAGGTAAACAATGGGGGCATTAACTATAGTCTGTTGCAGTAAGAAAAACTCCTAAACTACTTCAAGAGCAGGGGTATGACGCGCATAGCCCGAGAAACATGGGCCAGCTGCTATCCACCCTAAACCACCTATCCAATCTGTCGCAATAGTCCTGACATTAATCCTATACAAACAGACAAATAAAAGGATCGTGAAAGAACTGTCTAAGAGTCAGGCCAACATCAAAGAACATTACCCATGTTGTACGTGTTCACTATTACTGATAATAGTAAATAGATGAGTCTAAACTGAAATGATAAATATAACCTGTGTATTGTCAAAAGGGTATGTCTCTAGCCGATTTCAGATTTCATTTCGGATTCTAGTATATGATTTCGGATTTCAAGCGATATGACTGACTTTTATGGATATTGACAGATTTATCAGGTGTTGGTTATTGTGTGTAGTCATGTTACATTAGCTTGTTCAGAAATGACGAATTATTAGATCAGTATATTCTTGTGACACGGCAATAGATTCAGACAGTTGTGTATTTGTTATGTCTTTAAGACCGGCTGTACAAAAGTATAACAGCCAGTACCTGATCCTCTGGGAAATTGTCACTTGGTTGACACATGTCATCGTACCCAAATTACATAGATCGATGCTCATGCCGTTCATCACTGGATTGTCTGGTCCAGAATCTATTATTTGCAGAAAGCCGCCATATAGCTGGAATATTGCTGAGTGCGGCGTAAACCTAATTTCATTCACTCAGGGCAATTGATATGAGACGTAACGTCAACGGTCAAAACTGCTAATTTGATGAAAATGATTTATAATTTTCTTACACACATCACCAAATCTTGAACTGTTGAAACGTATCAGGTGTACGTTTTATAAAATGCATTACAAATAATTTTATTTATGCAGCTGTATGCAGAATGTTATTGACATAATATATTGTCCAGTACAAATTATCTTACGTTTTTATTAAAGATACTGAAATAAATTCACAATAAATTTTAATTCCACAACATATAGATCTGATATGCATCGTTATCAATAAAAAAGTATTTTAGGCAACAGTGTTAACGGTGTGGTATTAATGCTTGTTATATTGTATGTAACATTCATTCCTGAATGATTGTAACCACTCGGCTAGCATGCACTCACACACACACGGTGTGCATATCTTTCACTGATTTCGGATTTCGGATTTAAGATTCTTGGCATGCAGCCAACCTTATGTCGTGTAATAACCAGCTGCGTAACAATAAAGCGGACAGTCCTAGTTTCGCTTTCGTTTTGCTATGTAGACTGATCGGTCCAGTCACACAAGACAGGGTAGCTATGGATTGGGTGGCCGGAGAGGAGGTAGCTCCCTACTTGACGGGAAGAAACAGGGCTCTGAAGCTCACTGAAGTTCTGAACATACTCGAAAACCCCGATGACACACGGGCTATAGTAACACCACCCGCTAAACCCCGCGGAGGAGACGGATACCTGTACAGAGTTGAGGCAGACACGGCGGAAGGTAGGTGAACCAGTGCATGTACTGAAATTTAAACACACCCGAGATAGCCTCTGATGATTATTGAATTAGGGGGTGTAAAACCAGAAATAAGTATCAATGCGTATGGTGAGTTAAGTGAGCGGGGGATATAGGTTTGAGCTCCGTCCGTTGTTGGGACAAATATTCTCTAAAACCGTTATAGACGGGGAAACCAAACATGGTATGTGTTTTGAAGACATGAATACCTTGAAAACGAAGGCTTTGGGTTCGTCATGTTTGTGTTTGTTTCTAGCCACGTTACGCCATTACGCTACTTTACCAAATATTGACCGAATATTCTTAAAAATAAATCCACTTGTAGAGATACATCGACGCCGACCGGCTAGTCGATCATAAAACAAATAAAGTTGAACTGCATGACGTGGTGTGATTGTCAGATATGGTATATATAGACGTCAGGTCTAAATATAGCCGGAAATGCCCACAACTTCGGATATCCTGCATACGAGCAGGATCTGTATCGGGAATAGCAATGCTCATGTTTCCCTATTGGGTGAGGTTGGGTGAGGTGAGGTGAGGTGAGGTGAAATGGGGTTCAACGTCATACTAAAGAATATTTGGCTCATATGACGACGTGCACAAGTGTGTATGTGTGGCTGCTTGTACTAGCCCACATGTAAGCTGGTTCTCCTTTCATTCTCACTCAACATGCACTCATTTACTCTAATGCGTTGTCGCATGATTGTAAGGGCAAAAATATTGAACTTCTTCACAGAAGTTAGGTTGGAAATGGAGGTACATTGGGTTTTCTGTGTTAATTTACCATTTCCATAAAACGTAAAACTTCACATTTTAGTTAAAAGTTGCATGTCGCCAGCGACGGTATATTTATTTCTTGCATCACAAATATCACTATTGATAGTGCATATTATCTTTTCATGCATCATACAGAAGATGCCATGCTGAATTGTACTGTGAGGTAATAATAGTAATAGTCCGCTTATATGGCGCTCATATCCAGGTACATTGCCCGCTCACGGCGCTACGTACATTACTATCCCCGGTCACTAGGACACTGTCGTACTTTCCGATACGTTTTCAACTCACTGGGGAGTATACAGCCATGCTGACTATTAGGCGCAACGAACTAAACACTCACATTGCAAGCACATCCTCACGGGTACCCATTTTACAGCTGGGTGAACTGAGACAATGTGGATCTAAGTATCTTGTCCAAGGATACTACGCAAATGTGCCCACCTCGGGACGAGAACCTAGGTGCCTCCACCGGGGATCGAAACCGGGTCTTCAGCGTGATAGGCAGACGCCTTACCACTGCACTACTGTGCTACACAAGGTGGTCATTTAATCTAATATTTGAGGGTATTTTAGTGAAACTTCAATGAAATTCCACTGTCGCCAATTCTTTGGTATCTTACGTTATGCTCCAAAAGGAAGAAAACAACATAAAAAGAGAAAAAGTATATCTAGTAACTTTAAGAAAGTAATCGCTCATGCTTTACTGAAGACACTGAACATCAAATCCATTTGTTGTAATAACTTGTTAATCTATAAATATGTTGGGATGATACAATCATATACAGTATAGTTAAGGAGTTCTTTTATGTTACGACGTTGTAAGACCTTATAACTAACCTGAACACATCTATATGATCATCTGGCAAGGAGTATACAGCCTAGTTCTTTTCATGGCTCCTATTTTCGCACGCTATCATTTGTTTAACTTGCGTGGCTCATAATAATGACTGATGCATTAAACGTTACGTATTCTACGTTACGGGATTTTACGTTACAGTTCCATATATGGTTATTTAATATCACATAATGTGCATACGTCACCAACAAATTTGATGACGCCATAAAACATGTTGCGTCCTTCATGCTGATTTCAATGTGCGTACTGCTCATGATCTGAAGCTCTGACGGGTTTAATCATCGGTATAAAAGTACTGAACTTTCAACCTTATGATTTTTGTATATGTGTACAAGTCAAACTATCAAACGTTTTTCAATGCGTGTAATGAAGAAATTCTATTGATATGTATCTTGTATCTTGACGTTGACTATAAATATAGAAATGCCAGTGTAAGGCTTTCAATATTACTTTAGATGAACTAGAGATTCTATTTGGAAATTCTTGTCTGAAGTTTCACCAATTGTCTATATAACGGTCAATTTCTATATAATATCTGATTACTCTTTTGATTTATTTGTGGTGAAATTAACTTCAGTTTATTAAAGGATTTCAGCAAACAATTAAAACAAGTTGTGCTATAGTTTTACATATATCTAATATGAAATAAGTCTGTGGGACGTAAAATACACAAGAAAAAATACCCCACTGCAGGTAACTGCCGTTTATTACCAAACCGTAAGACATTATATATTGTCGGTCTGTAGAAGAAATTGTGTTCAGATAAAAATGATTTTCATGATCACAAACGCGGACGTTGGCTGAAAATGAGTGTTTTATAGTGCTAGATCACTGAGATACCATGCTGCAGTTGAGCATGAATACCTCACTCAGACAGAGTATACTGACTCCGAGCCCACCAGTCCTTATTGTACCGATTAATGCCGAGCGCAGGGGCCAACAAGTACCATATTTTAACGTCTTTTGGTATGACGCGGTCGGGGATCGAACCCACCACCATCCGGTCTACGGGCAGACGCTCTAACCACTACACCACGGAGGCGGTTCCCCCTAATATAAAAGAACTATGCAGCAACGCTCCGCTAAGCATACAACAAGCTCTTTATATGCATTCGTGCAGGACAACGCACATAGCTATGTAATCAAAGCGTCTTGAACACTCAATACCACTGCAGCGGCGGATACAGCTTTTTGAGAAAGGGTGCACACTATTGAGAAAGGGGGAATGCACACTTCATTTTCACGACAGTTTCAATCCTCATTTATTTAACTGTCAGGACAAAAGGGGGGGGGGGGGGCATTATGCACCAACATTTTCTTTTTCGAACCGCCACCTTTCATACAGATAAAACGGCAGCTGTAAGTTATGCACTGACACAACATAAGAGACTACTGATTGTCGCAGTGTCAGGCGCGTAGCAAGCCAATTTTTTTCGTGTAAGCTTAATAGGTTGCAAATCTCTATTTTGATAGTATTGAGAACTTGCCCAAACTTTTAAGCCAAAATCATGTGTTATCCCGGGCTTTTTCATTATGGTAGCTATGCCTCTGTATTGAAGTATGCAGAATACGCAGAATATTTAAACGAATTCAGTTAGAAATTTTGAACGCGTGTTTCTTATCGATTAGATGGCAGAGTGACTGCAGTTTGTTGTATTAGTTGTTTGATGCCGCATTCAGCATTATTTCAGCTACATGTCGGCGGTATGTAAATATCGAGTTTGGACCAGACAATCCACTGATTAATATCATGGACATCGATGTACACAAATGGAATGACATGAATCAAACACGTCAGCGAGTCTGACCTTACGATTCCGAAGACAAGAGTTGTAAACCGGGGATATAGCAAAATAAAAGACGGCCATTTTTTATGATGCACCTGGTCTATTGTTCAAACACCTTTATGGCTTCATTATGTAGGTGTATGTGACCTTGTACTGACCTCATTCTGTAGAGGCAGAGACTATACTGGAACCTATGACCCTCATTACACTAATGAGGAAGCTTCTCGAAGCTTAGACCTCATTCTGTAGAGGCACAGACTATACTGGAACCTATGACCCTCATTACACTGATGAGGAAGCTTCTCGAAGCTTAGACCTCATTCTGTAGAGGCACAGACTATACTGGAACCTATGACCCTCATTACACTAATGAGGAAGCTTCTCGAAGCTTAGACCTCATTCTGTAGAGGCACAGACTATACTGGAACCTATGACCCTCATTACACTAATGAGGAAGCTTCTCGAAGCTTAGACCTCATTCTGTAGAGGCACAGACTATACTGGAACCTATGACCCTCATTACACTAATGAGGAAGCTTCTCGAGCGATAACACAAATCTGTAGACATTTCTATCACAAATACATGATTCTTACATACAAATAATACTGTATGCCTACTACTTCACGGTTGAGTGAATCTCTCTAGACGCTTGAATGAGTATTGTGTTTGAACACTCCAGGAGGCCTACCGTCCATACAAAAAAAGATTTGGTGTCCGCACGCATCCATGATATCTTAAGGAGAGCATCGGACACCAGGCGCGTAGCAAGCCATTTTTTCATGTAAGCCCGATAGGTTGCAAAGCTGTATATTTCGATAGTATTGAGAGCTTGTCTAACCTCTTTAGCAACAATCATGTGTAAGCCGGGGCTTTTTCTGCAATGGTAGCTACCCCTGGAAACATGTCTGCTCAGTTCAGTGTCTAAAACAAGTGAAGTATGAGCTTCACCTGTTCAGGTGATCATTAGGATTTCAAGTGGAACAACGCAGAAGAGTCCACTTGTCCCTGATGGAAATGACTTTCATCATAAAACATGGGTGTGTTGACGATCGTCTCAGCATTCATTTTCGAGCCATCTGGGGAGTTTTAGGGAGACACTTGGCAGTCGTAGGGAGCCATCTGTAACGACATCTGTGGAGCTTCTACTCGACTTTTCTTTCTATAAAGATTGTTATCTCTAGAATAGGAGACAGAGGTAGCATCTCTCACTAGACATCAGTAATTGAGGCCTCCGTTGTTGTATCTCTTCAACAAAACTGACCCCTTGGTAGGGGCTAGCTTCAGCTTCTTCAACAGCACAGCTGACTTGTTGATAGCAATCTGCATTGGATTCATTGGAGTCCTTGATGTTTTGAGACTCTTGGGCTTTTTGGCTTCTTTCTTCTCCCACATATCAGCAATGTCGAAAACTTTGGAAGTCCAAACTTCCTATCGTCAAGCTCGCCTATCTCTAACTGATTCTTGAATGCACAGAGACTCTTGGTTGGTGTATGGGTGTTTGCTGTCTTCTTCTGCTACTTTTGTTTCTTCTTTGGAGATGAAACAACAGTAGTTGCAGGGTGTACCTAGGGAGGTATTCTTTTTCGAGTGACGGTCCTTGGCATCATATCTGTAACCTCAGCTGGATCTTTGGAGAACAAAGGTAACATACAGGTAGCACGCCGGTGATCATAGCTGGGTGGGTGAGCCCAGAGCACTACATCATTGCGCAAGGGCATAGGACGTCCATTCCTCAACTTGAGCATGATTGCTTGGAGCTTTTTTAAAAATGTCTCCCTGCACATCTTTGCCACCTCTTAGTAACAAGCAAACAGAGTTGTTAGCGTTGTCAGAGAGCAGTTGTAAGTTGTCTTGGTGATAAGAAATTCAATAAATGTCATCGTCAGTCAACTCACAGAAACGGTCCATTAACCCGTGCTGTGTCTCACTTTTAGGACAAATACCTGCCAACTTGCGGATGATCAATGGTATCTTTTGCTTCATCACATGGATCCTGTCTTGAAGATCACTGTAGTTGGTCTTGTATAAGTCACTTTGAGACATCATGTTATTGTGGAGATTGGCAATGTCAGAAGCAATGTCAGCGCCTGACAGTGAGGTCATGTTGACGAAAGTATTCATGATGACTGTTAGTGTCAAACTGATATACTATCCTTAAAATTTAGGAGCTTTTATATACAAGAAGCAACCAGATTAAACCAGATCACACCTTCCAGAATAGATCATACTCTTACCATCGTGATGAGGTCATCAGGTCATGTTTCGTTATTGATAAATCTGCTCTAATGGACGGCCTGCAGGTTCGATTCTTTTTTTGAATGATGTTTCATTGCATCAGAGCCAAAATAAAATCAGAAAACTGATTCACACAAAGCGCGAATCGTAGGAATTAAGAGCTAACTGACTAAAATCTTGCAATCATTACACTAATGCCATGTTCTAATTGATTTGTTTCTGTTCTGCAGACTCATGGAAAAATGACAACTACCACTTCAAGCATAATGGTGCCGGGAACAACCGAAGCCAGCGCCCAAGGTTCTCAAGCAGTACTTTGTTGCTTATAAAAGCGATGGCAACACTACCAAGGCTTTTAAGCGACAAGCATTCAACTTGCTGGAGGGAGAAGTGAAATATATCTTCGTTCACTACATAGGAAAACACACAGTAGCATTATCAGATCCTAAATACGAGAAACGTTTGAATACTCCCGTCCCAAATGGTTCTCAGACAGTGAAAAGTGATGTCAGAACAGCCGGTTTTGGAGATGAAGAAGAGAATGGAAAACTAGAGACATGCGATATGGAATTTGATCATGATCAACCAAACTCTCCTCATGTCTTATCTTCCTGGATGAAGTTAGCTCCAGGAAAAGGACACACGAACCTGATGTTACAGAGAATGTGCATGTGAAAAGTCCTAGACTTTCAGTGGGCGAACGACGAGTCATCGAAAGCACATTGCCGGACAACATCCCGCTGAATGGGTTCGTCATCAGCATGATGAAAGACCGACCGATCTTAGATCATTTACTGAAGATGTGCTTAGAAACGTACACATATTCTTATCGCAAGGTGTGTGTTGAAACTGACAAATTACTGGAAGAAAGACAGAGGAATTTCTGCAGTAGAGAGTCCGTGTTTATCACTGATAGCTGATATCGACCGTAAATGGAAAAATGACCTGGAAGAAGTCTGTAACCGATTGATGTGGTCACGACTTAGTCCGGGGGGTCTTGGCAATGACAAGTGCAAGGAGACGTATCTCAGACTTGTGTCAGCTGTCATAGTAGGTGCATATCACATGAAATCGGACATTGTCCATTTTGTTGACACCCTTCATTTGTACCCACCACATATGACGGGTGACTACTCGGAGACACAGGACGCTGGTGGGGCAGATACTCAGGTGTGCAGGGTTGGGCCTCACAACATACAGAGAAAGCATCTCCTTGACCAGACAGCATGGCTTGGCGATGAGGTAATGTGTACTGTTTCTCGTCTATGACGCTCTTACTGACTTAGATCAATAAAAATGACAATACAAATGTCATTATTTACAATGCCTCGAGCATATCTTTCTCAGGTCGGTAGGTTATGTCAAATTATCACATTACCAATCACATATTTATAGACGAAAACGAGTGAATGAGTATGGTTTTATGTCGCTCTTAGCAATATTCCAGCAATATCCCTTCCGAGAACAACAACGATGATATGGGCTACGCATTGCACCCATGTGGGGAACCGAACCCGCGTCTTCGGCGTGATTTAACCACTATGCTACCCCAACACCCTAAAGGCGAAAATGATAATTGTATTTGTTTCAAATCCTGAAGTTGCGAAGTAGCATATTAACGTGTTCAACTGTTGACTAAACATTTGAAACAGGATATATAGTGCAATAATGCCGTAATGGGTTGATAATAGTATGTGAAGAAAGCGTTTTGTTTAATAAGAATCTGTTAAGTAATTGGCTTTTTGCCTTCATTTTAGGTCATGAATGCGTACATGCTTGTTCTGAAGACCTCGTGGAATAGAATCCGCAGCCGTCACTGCACTGTAATTGATTCCTTCATGGTCAATCGTTGGGAAAAAGAAGAGTATGCTGTGCATCCATGTGAGGTATGTACAAACATAGAACATATTTAATAATATACACTCACTCTGTATGAACGGGTGCGGAATCTGCTCGCATTTTTGTGTCTAAAGAGGATGTTATGTGTTGATTCTCGAGTTGAAACTTAAACGTTAACCGGAATTCAGACCGAAAGAGAACCAGGCTAGCTATTCTCGAAAGCCCTACGAACTAGTTAAGCCCATCCTTAACACATTGGCTACGATCAGAGTTAAGAATTCTTAGGGCTACGAACGTTTCGAGAATAAGGGCCCTGGTGTGAAACCAGCATACACCAAAGAATGGAATCTGTTCGCATTGTTGTCTAAAGAGGATGTTAGGTGTTCATTCTTGTGTTGAAACTTACAATTTAACCGGAAATCAGACCGTAAGAGAACCAGGTGTGAAACCAGCATACACCAAAGAAGTGTGCTACAGCTAACAATTGTATTCTAAAATTGACAGTTCACAAATCAATACAAAGGTTTAACTATGGCAGTACAATCTTCTGTACAAGTAAATATTTAGAGGCAGGTAACTAAAATATCGACGATTATAACAAAACAGGCAATGATGGTAGTTTTCGCCTCTCAGTCACACTAATCACACATGACGCTAGGGCTTGGCCAGATGTGATCATCTTCTGATGACATGAGATGCAATGTGAGACACGAGGCAATAGCCAGTTCCCTTATATGCAGAGTAATCTGTATATGAGGAATATTCTGTGAAACAGAACTCTGTTAGTTTGTTTGTGGCGCTCAGCAATATTCCAGCTATAAGACGGTGATCTATAAATAATAGCGTCTGGACCAGACAATCCAGTGATAAACAGCATGAGCATTGATCAAATGGGAATCTATTACACGTCAGCGTGCATGATCGTGACCACCATCCCTCTAGCTGACTCTTACAAGTTGCTGAAGACCAACTCTGTATAAATACACCACACCACTAAGGTACAATGTATATCATATGAAATACAGCTGCACGGCGTTTAACACTATATCATACCAACTTACCAAGGAAAGTCAAAGCGGCATGGTAAATGTTTCTTTGAAAGCTGTAGTGAGTGAGTGAGTTAGAATTTAACGTCACCTCGGCAATATTTCAGCCATATAGTGACGAGAAATGTTTTACATAAACCAAAAAAATAATTGCTAAATAATTGAAAGCTGTAAGTGATGGTGTGTCCCGCTATTGTGGTTATAGCGACCTTGTACTAAAATGAATACTACTGCTCAAAAATTCAATGAATTTACGAAATGAACAAAATATACAGCAGAAATACATCATGCCAACGACCAACTGACTTGCCTTGTTCTTGTGGTCTTGTGACGGGTGCGGCAGGATGCAATATTGTGTTCCTAACTTGTATCATTGCTATTTGATACTGCTTCATGAATGCAGGGGCGGTGGGGTAGCCTAGTGGTTAAAAGCATTCGCTCGTCACGCCGAAGACCCGGTTCCATTCCCACATGGGCAAAATATGTGAAGCTCATTTCTGGTGGCCCCAGCCGTCATATTGCTGGAATATTGCATAAAGTGGCGTAAAACAAAACTCACTCATGAATACATCACTCACTCCATGAATACAAGTTTATGGGATCGGGTTCGTACAACAGACTCTACATTTTGTCCATTCATTAGGAAATGGTTATGTCCCCTTTGTTTTATGACATCAGGAACTTTTGACGTACACATGGATTCTGATGCCAGTGAACATGCCGCGGAATCAGCACTGGGTGCTACTGGTCGCCAATAGTCAAGATGGAACAGTGGGCGTGGTCAACTCTCAACCTGCCCTTGATGTGGGGATACACTTATTCAACACTGGAGGTAAGTTGGTTACATGGTGAACTATCATCATAGGCTGGGTGTAGACATATACTTTTACAACACTGCAAGTAGGTAAGTCTGCTACAAATGTATGCAGTTAATTACAACCAGTTCTAAATTTGTAGGAATGAGATGTTAAATGAAACAAATGGAGGTAGTTTCTGTTATTATATAAAAAATCTTTTCCAGAAAGTACACAAGTACTCTGAGAGGAGCTGGTGGGTCAGAGGTCACATGGACAAAGACGGAATATCCAGTACTGAACCAAAGTGATGGGCATAGCTGTGGCGTGTTTGTAAATATGGTGGGAACCAGATTAATAATTCATATTTACTACTGCATAATATAATTGTAATAAGAGCAATATAAATGGACATATGGTGAATCGACATTATTTAATTTACAATAAGAATTCATCTTGATCTCCCAAGCGAAGAAACTATACAATTGTAAATCGTATTAGTTTTCTCTTCGTTACTCACTGGTCAAATGTCACAATTTCAACATTGACCATTTCTAGCATTATCTTAACAAAGTACCCCAATATTGATACACTGACCCTTTTTCTATGACATAGATGCACATAAAGTACCGTTGTAGCAAGGAATTGTTGCGAAAGCATGTGAATCGGTCACTGTATGCTCAAGAATACTGTTAGTGGTATATAGGGACAAAGTGAGTGAGTGAGTGAGTTAATATTTATCGTCCCATCGGCAATATTTCAGCCATATCGTGACGAGAAAAGTTTATAATTATATTATAGATCAATAAAGTAGGACAGTAAAAAACCTGTTGACGAAGAACAGTAAAACTACTAGTGTATCACAGATATCCATTTAAAACTAGCAATTAAATCTAAAATATTGGAACTAGAAATGACAATACAATATGAAAACAGGCTGTAGATTGCTAACGACTGAAGGTAGATCACCATACTAGGGACCATGGGGACTTACAGTACATTTGGTTCCTGTATAGGGACAAAGTACTTACCTAAATACATCATAACAAAGTATGTGATATGCTGATGGATATATTTAGTTAGAATCACGAAGTCAGTATTATTTCACTGCATCTTGTCCTTGCGATTAAAACCCACATTGCTTCGTTTTTGACAATAATTCCTCACCAGTGGGTCTACATTCTTGCAGGCAGCAGAAGCTATTCTATCGGAGGTGAATCCCAATGTCATGAGAAGTTGTCACACTGTGTGGTACAGGAAGTACATCTGGCGCAGACTGAGAGAATATTGGGAAGCAAATAGGCAGCCTGATACAGACACAGACTGTAAGTATCAATCTTTTGTCAATATTGAAATAAACAATAATCAAATAGGAAAGTGACAAACCCTTTTCCATATCATGAGCATGTGTTCTGAATCACTATTAAATAGCATTTTTTTTGGCGAAATGATGAGCGTGACCTCAAAACCCAAACATGTGCGATAACAAAACTAGAAACTCAACGTGCCTGTTTATTATCTTAAAATGCTTTATTATCATTATTTTTCTAATAATCTAGGAAATCTAGTTTTGTTATATGACTTATACTTCATTTTAGACATCCTGTTAAAATGTAAAATTCATAAAACATTATCAGGGAATGTTTGTGCATTGCCATTTTATGAACGTCGGTTTAGAACATGTTCATTTTCATATCGTGTCACAATCAGGCGTAGCCTAGTGGTTTTAAGTGTTCGCTCGTCACGGGTTCGATTCCCTACTTGATGTCAAAATGTCTGAAGCCCAGTTCTAGTGTCTCCAGTGTTATTGCTGGAATATTGCTAAAAGGGGCGTAAAAATAAACTCACTCGCTGCCACAATCTACAACTAAACGTTGTTCTGGTTTCAGTTTGATCTTGGAAATCCGTCGCGCCCGTTGTGAGGTACGGAGGTTTTAAAGTGCAGTGTACATAAATGTACACAATTGCCATATAAATCGCCAAATTCATACATAAAAGCAGGTGTATATCGAGCTAAATGCTAAGACTATTTCGCTCCGATTTGCCATTGCTTCATACTGGAGGTCTTGATGGAGGTTGTTATAAGTTACTTGCCCTCATACTGCGGGGCCACAATCCCCTTCCACGTCGATGCTCTTTTGCCAACCGGTGAAGGGTGTATTTTATCCCAGGATCGTATAAGTTCACGTGAGTGATCATTTAATATGAGGTTGGAAATCTGAGAGCATAACCGTGTGAGGAAATGTGTGTATACCTTTGATAGTGTCGATGTTTTGTTTTGAGATTAAAAATATTTTCGAACCAAAGCGAAGGGAGTACGTTGCCAACCTTTATCAGGGCTGTTGTGGTGTCATAATTGGAGTCAAAATCGGTTCCGCCTAGAACTCACGTCATCTTCCGGTATGGTCGGATTTGGAGAACACGTTGGGGCCTGAAGGAGGTCAAAGCAGCATTGGTTGTTGTAGTCATTGAAGCAGGGGAGCATTGTCCATTTTCCTGCTTCCCACGTCGCTTTCTATGACTGTAATCCTGTACTTCCGTTCACAGTCACACCTGTTTCATCATTATTATGTTGTTGGCATCTTAAGCATTGCCCTCTGTGGTTGGGTTGCTTCCACTGGTACTGCTGAAGCACAGATTCTAGTACTCTTGTTGGTCTCAATTGTTGTTTTAAAACATTGCTTTTTCATATCAATAACACGTACGCTGTAGTCTTGTTTCCAGTTAATCGAAAGATTCAAAAACAATCGCTGTTATTGAACAAGCAATATGACAATCCCGTAATTCGCCAGATAGTTCTTAACCACGCCATTTACTCCTGGTGTTGCTTGCTTATGTCACGGGACCTCCGAAGTGGGGGTCGTTTCCAGGTCTCAACCTGCAAAACTTAAAGTCTGCTGCTCTACTATAATTCATTGGTTGGTTTGTTGTTTAACGCCGCACTCAGCAGTATTCCAGCTATATGGCGGCGGTCTGTAAATAATCGTGTCTAGACCAGACAATCCATTGATCAACAGCATGAGCATCGATCTACGCAATTGGGATACAATGACATGTGTCAACCAAGTCAGCGAGCCTAACCACCCGATCCGATTGATTTAGTTGCTTCTTACAACAAGCATGGGTTACTGAATTACAGTTAGAAGACATAGGATGTACACATTTTCCAGATGAGTGAGTGAGTTGAGTTTACGCCGCACTCCAGCAATATTCCAGCTATATGGTGGCGGTCTGTAAATAATCGAGTCTAGACCAGACAATCCAGTGATCAACAGCATGAGCATCGATCTGCGCAATTGGGAACCGATGACATGTGTCAACCAAGTCAGCGAGCCTGACCACCGATCCCGCTAGTCGCCTTTATGACAAGTTTTCCAGATGATGATGACTTCCAGATGATGATAATGCAAAATCAGAATGTGTATTCAAAATCAAATTTTGTATTGTCATTAGTACAAAGGCTAAAAGATATGTATATACAGACATGGACTGCTTCACTGGCTTTATCAAAGAAGTGTTCTTATTACAAACTATTTAAATCAAAATAATTCAGGAAGATTACCTTTATAAGATTACTGTTAGAAAGTTCCGAACTGCTCTTTCACGTTTTAGATATGTTCCTCTTATGATCTTTTTATTGAAGAGACGTTATAAAAACATTAGTCGGGACCAAAGAATTTGTAATGTTTGTAACTTAAGAACAGTTGAAGATGAGTATCATTTTCTGCTTGTACGTCCTGTTTACTTACAACTGAGAGAAAGATATCTGCAACCCTATTACTTTACATACCCAAATTTAACTAAATTTCATTTATTGTTATCTAATACAAATGGTAAAGTTCTGCAAGATTTAGCAATGTTCATTTCCCATGCCTCCATGTACAGATTTAACATAATTGCAAAATGAGTCTGCAATCTAGCTGGATGAGCTTTTACAATTCTATTTATATTTTTATACTATGTCTGATTGTATATTTTGCATCGTAATGTACTATAGGCCTGTGAACATACAAACATAAAAGCGGCGTAAAACTAAACTCATTGTGATGGACTAGTGTAGAAATATTTATCCATAAAACTTAGTCGCAATACTAAATATGAATTACGTAGAGGATATTATATGAGTGCCCATGTCATTCTATGTTTATCACACGAGTGCCTAAATGTTGGCATTTCCCGAGCGAGAGCGAGGGATATGCCGATATTTAGGCACGAGTGTTGTAAACATACTAGGATGTTGGCACGAGTATAATAATCTGTTTATTACCGAATTCGTCAAATTGAGGAAAACATACCCAAATCTGCTATCAAACACAGGCTTGCTACCCACCGTCGCCGCATGTAGGACGCAACGTCATAGAAGACACATGACGTCATAGCAATGTAAGTTGAGTTGAGTTGGGCTTTACGTCACATCGGCATTATTCCAGCCATATAGTGACGAGAACAAGTCTGCATTAATATACATTGTAAGTACAAAGTGGTTTCGTTTCAAAGACATACATTCATTACGTTGTCATTTTAGAACAGAGAATGTCATAGCATTAAATTGAAAAGCAGGTAAATTCGTTAGTGACATTACACAGTTACATTTTATGATATAGATCAACTTCCCTCAGGTAGTTCAGTATCAGATGAGCGCTCACGCTGGAGAACAGATCTTTCAGATTGGTTTGCGTGATAATGCGAGTCCCTTGCAGATGTAAAATCCACACAGTCAAGCAGAATATGCTTGACGGTGAAAGCCTCATCATCGCAGGAGAGACATATGGGGGTCCATCCCCATCCGTTTTTAGCAGATAGTCATGTGTAAACCGACTGTGGCCAATACGACATCGTCGTAAAATTACTTCATCACGTCTTGACTGGCAACCCAAGTAGGTATAACCGATTGTTGGCTTCAATTCATGGAGTTTGTTTCTTCCTACTTGAGTGTCCCACCTTTTTGCATCAAGTCCCGAGTATAGCTTTTGATAGTTGGTTTGAAATCACTGTACGGGATTAGCAGTGGAGATAGGGGCTTTTCAAGAGCTGCTTTTGCTGCAGCATCGGCCTTAGTGTTACCTGCTATGCCGACGTGACCCGGCAACCAGCAGAGGATGATGTCATATTGGCCAGTAGAAGGTCGTTGTACAGTTCTAATATGTCCAGGATGATTGGGTGACTTGAAGTCACGTTTAGAAGTGCTTGAAGGCAGGATAATGAATCTGTAAATACGATGAAGTTTTTGGACTGATTTTGCTGTTGAATGTAGGTCAAAGCTGAGAAGATAGCTTTGGCTTCAGCGGTGAAAATGGAACTGTTGTCGGGGATCCTAGAGGAGACAGTCTTGGCTCCAATGACTGTAGCGCTGGCAACTTGGCCATCGTCCTTGGATCCGTCTGTGAAAATGGATCTGTGAGTGTTATACTTCGAACGTAACTGGTTGTATTCCTGTTGGAACACCAAAGGGATTTGTTTCAGACTTTTTGAGTTTGGTGAGGGTAAGATCGACCTGTGGTTTCACCATTTGCCATGGTGGTGAGGACAGAAGTCGGTATGGTGCAATGATGTTGAGATCAATTTTAGCTGCAGATATGTGTGGTTTGATCCTGATTCCAAGTGGTGGAACCAGGCTTGGCAGTTTAGGAAATAAGTTTTCATAGAGCGGGTTGAAAACACAATTGTATGCTGGATTGGACTCATTTGAACGTAATTTAGTGATATACTGCAGTGAGAGTTTAATGCGGCGTTGTTCAAGGGAAGGTTCATTGGCCTCCGCATATAGACTGTCTACCGGAGAGGTCCTAAAAGCTCCCAGGCAGAGCCTCAGCCCTTGGTGGTGGATAGAGTCTAATTTTTTTTTCTAAATTGCTTTTGCAGGCTCCACCGTAGACAATGGAGCCATAATCTAGTTTACTGCGAACTAATGATCTGTACAAGTGAAGGAGGGTGGTCTGATCCCTCCCACTCTGTATTTGAAACTACTTTTAGCAAGTCTAGAGCCTTCAAGCACTTTGTTTTCAAATATTTTTTATGTGTGGTAAGAATGTCAGGTGGCGGTCGAATATGAGTCAAGGAATTTGGCCTCTTCTACTACCTTGATGGGAGTACCATCTAAAGTTAGGTCTGGATCCTTGTGTGGTTTGTATTTACGACAAAAGTGAATACAATTTGTTTTGGATTTTGAAAACTTAAAACCATTTTCATTGGCCATTTTTGGATTTTGTTAAGGCAGAGTTGTAGCTGCCTTTCTATTGCGTGCATGTTCTTACCACGACATGAAATATTGAAGTCATCCACGAAAGGGACCCATCAACGCAACTGTTCAGAACGTTAGTGAGGCTGTTAATTTTGATGCTAAAAAGTGTGACAGACAGGATGCTGCCTTGGGGGACGCCCTGATCTTGGTGGAAATAGTCAGACAGTGTGGAACCCACCCGAACTTGAAATTGTCTGTTATTTAAAAACTGAGATATGAATTGAGGTAGTCTACCCCTCAATCCAAACTCGTGTAAATCTTTTAGGATACCATGTTTCCACGTTGTATCATATGCTTTTCTAAATCGAAAAGATAGATACTGCATGTTGTTTGTTGACAATGGAGTTTTGATGAATGATTCCAGACGCACCAGATGGTCAATGGTACTTCGTTTTTTCGGAAACCACATTGGAGGTCACTGAGGAGGTTATTGGTCTCCAAGTACCAGATTAATCGATTGTTGACCATGCGCTCCATGGTTTTGCAAACGCAGCTAGTTAGTGATATAGGACGGTAGTTTGAGGGATCAGTATGATCGCGACCGGGTTTTAGTATAGGGATGATAATGGCATTGTGCCACGAAGGGGAAAGTGTCGGATGTCCAGATGTCATCAAATATATTTAGGAGTGTTTCCAAGCCTGTGTCAGGGAGGTGTTTCAGAAGCTGATAATGGATTTCATCAGCTCCTGCCGCAGTGTCGTGAGCCTGTCCTAGGGCAGTACGTAATTCATGGAGGAAAACGTTTCGTTGTAATCCTCCCCATTATCAGAGTTAAAATTGACTGGTTTCTTTTCTTGTTGGGTTTGGTATTTCTGGAACTGAGGGTTATAATTTGATGAGGAGGAGTGGTTTGCCAAAGTTTCGCCAAGTTTGTTTGCAATTTCAGATTTATTTGTTAGGAGGAGTCACCATCTTTCAGGTGGTGAACTCCTGATTTTGACCCTTTGCCCTTGATCTTTTGAATCATGTTCCACACCTTGGACATGGGTGTGCGGGAGTTGATTTTTGACACATATTTCCTCCATGACCGGCGTTTAGTTTGTTTGAAGGTACGTTTTGCCCTGGCATTTGTCATTTTAACAGCATTCAGGTTATGCACTGTAGGATGTTGTCGGAAATATTTTCCGCCTTCTTCCTATTTTTCCTAGCTTGTTTGCAGTTTGTATCAAACCATGGTTTGCGTATGTGCGGGTTTGCAGAGGACTTAGGAATAGTTTTGTCTCCGATGGCATTTAGGACGTCTGAAAATAGTTCCATGGGGTCAGGAACATTCCTGAAGTTGTCCGGCTTAAGTTTTTCTGAACATAGGGTTTGGAATAAAGGCCAATTGGCCTTAGTAAAATTCCATCTTGTTGATGGTGGTTCATCCGTGGGGTTGATAGGAGTAAGAATTGTTGGGAAGTGGTCGCTTCCACAAAGGTCGTCATGGACCGACCATTCAAACTCATTTAAAAGATTAGAATCTGTAAGTGATAGATCGAGAGCAGAGTATGATCCAGTGGCAGGATGGAGGTAGGTGTTTGATCCATCGTTGAAGATGCATACATCATTATTGGAGAGAAACTCTTCAAGGACCTTTCCCTTACTATTTGTATCAGTACTCCCCCATAGGGGGTTATGGCCGTTGAAGTCGCCCATGATTATGCAGGGCTTTGGGAGTTGATCGTATAAGTTCTGAAGATCTGATAGGCGAACAGTTGAGGTGGGAGGGAGATAGAGGGAGATAGAGGGAACATAGTGTAAACCCTATGTTCAGAGTCATGCGGACAGCAACAGTTTGTAGGTTGGTGTTAAGTGGAACAGGGCTATGGAGGATGCCCTGCCTCACCAGGATAGAAGTGCCTCCTGTAGCTTTTACACCGGGAGGAGAAAAGGAGTGGTAGGAACTGTACCGACGGATGTCAAATTTATCAGTCCTTTTTAGGTAGGTTTCTTGGAGACAAAACGCGGATGGTTTGAAGTCTTGAATCAATAACTGTAATTCATTATAATTATTCTTAAGTCCTCTGCAATTCCATTGGATCATGTTTTGTGGATTCATGGTGCTTCCACTGGTGACATGTCACGTGAACGTGAAAGCGTTTGATGAACTCCTATTGGTGTCTGGTGGAGATGGAGTTACCTCCATATCCAGAGGGCCAAAGGAGTTATGGACCTCGATGGGGACCTCTGAGGGAGAGGTGGCCTTTGGTTTTGTGTTTGGCGGTTGTTCAAGTTGCTTTAGTCTCTCTAGCCTCTTTTTTTCCCTTTTTCTGCGCGCAGTTTCTGTTTCTGGTTTTGGCATTTGTTCTGGTGTTTGTGATTCAGAGGTTTTGACTTTTGGCGTTGGAGATGGAGTGGCTGAGATGGGCTCAGTTGTGTTGAGTTGAGTTGGCTGAGAAGACATGATCCATGTCAGGTCGGTCTGACATGAGATGGTTGCAGTAGTGATAGAAGGACGGGAGACAGCAGAAGAGTAGGTGATGGTTGAAGGGGCTGCAGTTAAACTTGCAACCCTCTTCTTTGCTTCATGAAAGGAGATATTTTCTTTGTGCTTGATCTTTAGGATCTCGGATTCGCGTTTCCACACTGGGCAAAACTTGGAAGAGGCCATATGGTTACCACCGCAGTTTGTGCACTTCACTTCCTTAGTACAGTCGTTGCCCTCATGCTTGTCACCACAGCGATAACAAACAGCAGAGGAACGACAGGACTTGGATCCATGTCCGAACTTTTGGCAGTTGTAGCACCGGAGTGGATTGGGGACATACACCTCCACACCAATGCTACAATAACCAGCTTTAATCGAGTCAGGAATGTTTGCTCGCGCGAATGTGAAGAGATAGGTGTTCGTTGGTTGAACAACACCGTCCTTTTTGAAGGTGAATCGTTTTACGGCTGTGACGGATTGCTGAGAGAGTTCCTTGACAATTTGTTCTTCAGTCATGTCAGACAGGCATCGAGCTCTGTCCCGTACAATGCCTCTACACGAGTTAAGTGTTTTGTGTGCTGAGACAGCGACCTTGATATTGACAAATTCTTGTATTTTGAGGAGATTTAGTGATTGGTGTTTCCGGGTACATTCTATCAGGAGAGAGCCAGATCTAAGCTTTGTAACATTGGCAACCTCTCCGCAGATACCAGCGATACCTTTGGAGATTGCAAAAGGGTTCAATTGCAAAGGTTGCTTGTCACAAGCCTCAATGATCAGGAAACGTGGCCAGTAGTCAGGTCGGAGGGGCGTACTCTCGTCAGACGAGGAGTTGTCATCATCCATGTGTCTTCGTTTTGAACCGGGGTATTGGGAAGCCATGTCGTTAGTAATGTGGTTCGGCATCCCCTCTCCCCACCCACCGTGGAGTGTCAACAAGGACGATCTTATACTGCAGCGGGTCTCCAAGCTGCAAAGACCAGGATAAGGGGTGTTATACTCCAGCGAATTTGACATGAAATGCTGTAGCTGCCTACCAGATTAAAGGTCAGGATGGTTCTGTCCATGACAATCAATTGGAGACGTACAGAAATCGGAGGTCAGCATCACCAGATTGGCCCATGAGCCACCGCCTTCTGTGCATGGGTCTGCGAGGCTAATTTGTTTTTGTAGAATATTTGTTAACATTTTGAACATGGTCAAACGTGTTATGTGATACCAAATTTTGTATAGACATTCCATGCACAGGGCAAGGCGTGACCAGCCGATTGGTAGAATCGGGCCTATTCTACCACCCGTCTAGGCAAAGTTAGGGTCGAAGTGGTGTGTTGGATTATTGAACACTATTGCCGGTTCCGTCACCTCAACCACCAGACTCCCTTCCTCTGCCGACACAGGGATGCAACCCACGGCAAACGGGTTGCCCAATTTGGTCGCCTCTTACAACCAGCAATGGGGTGCTGTGGACCTATTAGACCCAGGGTCCACATGGGGGCGAAGAGCCATTGGCGTTACCCAGCACCCACCACGAGGAGATTGCTCTTCAAGGGGTGCCTGGTATTACAGATGGTATTTTATCAAATATCACAATATGTTTATACTAAAGAATAATAGGGAAAATGGTGCAATATCAATTGTCGATTTATGCTGTGTGGTAAACAAAAACGTTGTAAGACATGTAACACATTAAAAGTTTGTTTGTTTGAAAAATATTTCAAAGCCAGATATGACTTGACCTGTATGGTTGTATATATAAAATGTCTTTGCAGTTCTGGAGCCTCCATGCGGAAGGGTGAAGAATAAGCCACAGGACGAAGCAAATACATTGTGTTCAGTGTCAACAAAGACCAGACCCTTTACATATACAATAATCACAATGGCTACCAACATAGATGAAGCAAGATACAGCTTACACAAAGCAGCCCATCTTGGTGATATTGGACACTTGCAGCAGCTGCTGTTAGACAAGGGAGAGTCTATGCCGTGTACTGACGAGCGAGGATGGACGCCCTTGCACTACGCCTGTGAATGTGGTCAAGTCGAAGCTGTCTCACTTCTTATTTCGAAAAGGCCGGGTTACCTTCGGAAAAGAGTTGATCTTACGCTTTACAATCCTTTCTTGACAACAAAGTACATGTATTTACCTCTTGTGGGGATACATCCACTGCACATTGCTTGTTTAAATGGGCATGAACATGTAGCGTTCACTTTGATCAACAGCGGTGCTTACGTTGACACCAAAAGCAAATATGGAACAACAGCGCTATTTTGTGCTTCCATGAATGGGCATGAATCTGTAGCCGCTTCTCTAATACAGAGCGGTGCAAGTGTTAAAGATGAAGGCAAAGACGGATGGACGGCACTACACTTAGCTTGTCAAAATGGACATGAATCTGTAGCTGCACTTCTCATCAAGAATGGTGCAAGTGTTACAGCTGAAGTGGAAGACAGACGGACGGCACTACACTTAGCTTGTGAGAATGGACATGAATCTGTTGCTGCACTTCTCATCAAGAGTGGTGCAAGTGTTACAGCTGAAGAGGAAGACAGAGGGACGGCACTACACTTAGCTTGTGAGAATGGACATGAATCTGTTGCTGCACTTCTCATCAAGAGTGGTGCAAGTGTTATAGCTGCAAGTATAGAACGATCGACGGCACTACACTTAGCTTGTCAGAATGGACATGAATCTGTTGCTGCACTTCTCATCAAGAGTGGTGCAAGTGTTATAGCTTTGCAAGTATAGAACGATCGACGGCACTACACTTAGCTTGTGAGAATGGACATGAATCTGTTGCTGCACTTCTCATCAAGAGTGGTGCAAGTGTTACAGCTGAAGATGAAGACAGACGGACGGCACTACACTTAGCTTGTCAGAATGGACATGAATCTGTTGCTGCACTTCTCATCAAGAGTGGTGCAAGTGTTATAGCTGCAACTATAGACAGATGGACGGCACTACACTCAGCTTGTCAGAGTGGACATGAATCTGTTGCTGCACTTCTCATCAAGAGTGGTGCAAGTGTTATAGCTGCAACTATAGACAGATGGACGGCACTACACTCAGCTTGTCAGAATGGACATGAATCTGTTGCTGCACTTCTCATCAAGAGTGGTGCAAGTGTTACAGCTGAAGGGAAAGACAGATGGACGGCACTACACTTAGCTTGTGAGAATGGACATGAATCTGTTGCTGCACTTCTCATCAAGAGTGGTGCAAGTGTTACAGCTGCAAGTATAGACAGATGGACGGCACTGCACTTAGCTTGTCAAAATGGACATGAATCTGTTGCTGCACTTCTCATCAAGAGTGGTGCAAGTGTTACAGCTGAAGAGGAAGACAGAGGGACGGCACTACACTTAGCTTGTGAGAATGGACATGAATCTGTTGCTGCACTTCTCATCAGGAATGGTGCAAGTGTTACAGCTGCAAGTATAGACAGATGGACGGCACTGCACTTAGCTTGTCAAAATGGACATGAATCTGTTGCTGCACTTCTCATCAAGAGTGGTGCAAGTGTTACAGCTGAAGACGAAGACAGAGGGACGGCACTACACTTAGCTTGTGAGAATGGACATGAATCTGTTGCTGCACTTCTCATCAAGAGTGGTGCAAGTGTTACAGCTGCAAGTATAGACAGACGGACGGCACTGCACTTAGCTTGTCAAAATGGACATGAATCTGTTGCTGCACTTCTCATCAAGAGTGGTGCAAGTGTTACAGCTGAAGAGAAAAGACAGACCGACGGCACTACACTTAGCCTGTCTGAATGGACATGAATCTGTTGCTGCACTTCTCATCAAGAGTGGTGCAAGTGTTACAGCTGCAAATATAAGAGAACGGACGGCACTACACTTAGCTTGTCGGAATGGACATGAATCTGTTGCTGCACTTCTCCTCAAGAGTGGTGCAAGTGTTACAGCTGAAGGCAAAGACAGAGGGACGGCACTACACTTAGCTTGTCAGAATGGACATGAATCTGTTGCTGCACTTCTCATCAAGAGTGGTGCAAGTGTTACAGCTGCATGTATAGACAGATGGACGGCACTGCACTTAGCTTGTCAGAATGGACATGAATCTGTTGCTGCACTTCTCATCAAGAGTGGTGCAAGTGTTATAGCTGCAAGTATGGACAAATGGACGGCGCTACACTCAGCCTCCCGCAATGGCTGCATGAACTTAGTGTGGATCCTTATAGAGAATGGGGCCGACACGGGGCTTAGAGATGTTTACGGGAGACGTCCTGTTGACGTGGCGTCGTTTTATAATAATTCGGACGTTGTTCGTCTCCTGGAGCAGGAAATGAGGAAGAAAAAGAGTAAGTAGTCGCGAGTACGGTCATCTAAATTCAGTATTTTCACTACATTCGTACTGCAAGTAAATGAGACATTTTGAATTGTATTCCTACTTATTTAGACTAGTATATTTTTTCTCTAATTGTTAAACACATACTTAATCTAACATCAAAAACCTACTTACCTTTGTTTCATATAGGGGCGGTGGGGTAGCCTAGTGGTTAAAGCGTTTGCTCGTCACGCAGAAGACCCAGGTTCGATTCCCCACATGGGTACAATGTGTGAAGCCCATTTCTGGTGTCCCCGAATGTCAGCATTATCTCCGCTATATGACAGCAGCCTTCAAATATGCTCAAAAAGTTAAGGACTATTAGATACTAAAATATTGATAATTGGGGTGAATGTCATGGTTAGATACAAAATTTGCATGATGAAATTGTTTTTTTAAAATGGAAACAGATTAATTATAATATTTGAGTTCAGTATCATGGAAATATACACACACTGAAAATATGTGTCAGGGTTTCTATTATTAAGTATAGTATCCACTTGCATATGAAAACAGACAGTTTTAAATGTTTAATGTTTATCTTTTCGTTTATCAAACAATGTACCTACTGAAAAGTGTAATATATACTTCAGCAAATATTCTGAAACGAGCATTATCAACTGTAACATAGTCCGTATCATGTTGAATATAACGCGACTGTCATTATTTCCAGCAAACTTTGCAACATTGGGAAACTCTCGAACACGGACAGAAAACACCACAGAAAATTCACCATCACAAGTTTTGCCTTTTGTCAATAGCACTCCCGGCGGAACTATATCCCATGACGATGACAGAATCCAACGTACAACAGCACCGAATGCAATACCATTTGACACGCAACTGCTTGTTTGGGGACAAACTAACTTTCACGTTTACAAAGGAAGGCAGGGAACAGAACGGTTCCCAATATGACACAAGGAGTACGTATGGTAATAGTGACAATATTCCGACTCCTCCAGTGCAAATTGCTGTGCGGGAAAATCACCTATCAGGAATGGAATCTTGTATTCCATTTACACACAGAGACAACGTCGTGTCAGGACCAACGTTGCCCTCAAGAATAGCTCCAGTACTGCCTCAAGAGTCCCCTTCAATCTGCACAAACATATGAACTATAACGGCTCCAATCCAACATGTCTGCTTACAACACACGTTGTTCAACCTTCGTCTGAATTCCTTTGGACCACTCAACCAGATATGAGCTCTTTCATACCAGCGCAAGCCATATGTTCCTTAAATGTAAATCCGATTCAAAATCCACAAGGGGTTGCACCAACACCCACAACACCAGCACTCCGAACCCCAACCAGGACGTGGAGGGTAGTTCCCTCTTACAGGAACTTCTGTCACCCTAGAATACAAAAGGTCAACATGGAACTCTCTGAACTTGAATTCCGTTGATTCAGGCATGCAGCTGTTAGAAGGTTATGGACAGTTTACCAGTCTATGATAAACCAGGACAAGTTGAGTTGACTATTAACCCCGCAAATAGTCACACCCTGATATTTAGTAGGCTGATTTCCCAACTAAAGCCAAATTTCCGTTTGGCAATGCTCCCATCCCAATATCCGATATGGGGCAGTAATTCTAAAATCGAAACTAACAGCTATGATATAGTGCGGCGTTGTCAAAACGCAAGACGCACAGTCAGCTCACTCAACTCTGTAGGATTAAATGGCTATGTTCACCATCCCATTGTATGTGTTAAAATATGGCACAGAATGATTCTCCTCTAATACTAAAAACAAGAATAAGTTGGACCGGCGCAGAGAACTCGTTTACGACAAGTAGGCGGTACATGGCAATTAACAAAACCCATTTGGCTTGTGAAAGGTAGAGCAGATGTAGGCTAGTGCACGTGCAGTGCATGACGATGAAATTGATTCCGCGCCACTGTCGAACACGGAGTTTGCTGGAGACAGAGTATACCCACATCACCAAATTTTCCGGCCTAACCTTCTCCCACATCACCTAATTAGCAGAGAGCCCATAACGCCGAATATCTGTAACCACTAAACCCGTGGCGTCTCACTGGAGCAGGCTAAGTTCCCTAAGTGCGAGTAACCCTAATCCCTCTGTTTTAACACTGCCCATTTCGAAACGTGGGCAAAGTGGGGAGTAAACCGTCTTTCTCCCCCGTTCTCCATTAATTCGTACAACATCTAACAAGCTCAACACCACTCTTTTCAATTTTTTATTTGTTGTTCACCCTCATTTCTTAATAAGTGGGTCCAGTGGGTCGGTGGGGGTAGCCTAATGGTTAAAACGTTGGCTCGTCACGCCGAAGACCGGGTTCGAATCCCACATGGGCACAATGTGTGAAGCCCATTTCTGGTGTCCCCCGCCGTGATGTTGCTGGAATATTGCTAAAAGCGGCGTAAAACCAAACTCAGTCAGTCAGTCAGTCTTAATAAGTGTACTACCCCGTCGCCGAAATACCTATATTGTGCGTGCGACGCTAAATAAAGCAAATAATTAACGAACTTACCTATAGCATAATTGCAATGGCGAATGTACGGTGGTATCCTCTTTGCCAGTCGGGCAACTTGTCTATTTAAGGAGTAAGAGTTCAGTTATTACATTGCTGTAACAGAAGAAGAAGAAAACTATTTTATTAGAGTGTCACTCTCTTCATAAAAGTGTCCAGCCAACATTGACCTACGAGACACTAAATACATATGGGACATGTTGTATATAAAAGTAATATATTGAAAGGCTAATACAGACATCCCAGGACTTCTGCCGATCCACCCCAAAACGTTTACGTCATCACGGGATCAGACCACGACGTCCCGCCATACGGCTCTATCCTGACACAACGTCATCGACAAGCTCGCCGAATGTGGTGCCGAAATCATGTCCGCAGACCCTTATTTTGGATGAGAAATGTTGTTTTACAGATGAGTCCAGGTTTAACATTTCCCTTAGTGATGGACGTCAACGTGCCTATAGACGCGTGGGAGAACGTTATGCACAGGCCTGTGTCTTGGAGAGGAATCGCTTTGGTGGTGGTTCCGTGATGATTTGGGGTGGAATAACAGCACGCCAAAGAACTCCTTTGGTGATTGTTCAGGGCAACTTAACTGGTGTGGGCTACAGGGATCAGATTCTTCGACCTGTGGCAATTCCTTTTCTGCAACGTCATGGCCCTGGGTTAACATTCCAACAGGACAATGCCCGCCCTCATACGGCAAGGGTTGCTATGGATTTCTTGCAACACCACAACGTTTACTTACTGCCTTGGCTTGCAAAGTCGTTTGACCCCTGTCCCGCTTGTGGACTCGTGACGTCATTGTGATGGACTTTTCAATTGAAATTCTCCCGACTTGTTATGGTCTCATGATCCCTCCATTAAAGTTTATATGTACCTTTTACATTGTTATCGTACTTATCAACTGGGATAATATTTTGACAATGCACAGTTTCTTTATGTGGCTAGTATATAAACCTAGTACATATTTGTAAATTCAAGTGGTTTGGGGGTAGTTTCCATGCCTATAAGATTACACTTAGAAACTCACTAAGCGAGGGGGATGGGGAAGGGAGGAGGAGGGGTAGTTTCCATGCCTATAAGAATACACTCAAACTCACTAAGGGAGGAGGGGAGGGAGGAGGAGGGGGTAGTTTCCATGCCTATAAGAATACACTCCAAACTCACTAAGGGAGGAGGGGGAGGGAGGAGGGAGGGAGGAGGGGAGGGAGGAGGAGGGGTAGTTTCCATGCCTATAAGAATACTCAGAAACTCACTAAGGGAGGGAGGAGGAGGGGGTAGTTCCCATGCCTATAAGAATAAACTCAGAAACTCACTAAGGGGGTGGGGGTGGGTGTAGTTTCCATGCCTATAAGAATACACTCAGAAACTCACTAAGGGAGGGAGGAGGAGGGGTAGTTTCCATGCCTATAAGAATAAACTCAGTAACTCACTAAGGGAGGGGAGGGAGGAGGAGGAGGAGAGGTAGTTTCCATGCCTAGGAGAATACACTCAGAAACTCACTAAGGGAGGGTAGTTAACGCCTAAACACAAGAAATATTTCATCCTCGGTTCCTGTGACATTATCAGCACTGTAGTTGATGCCTACGAATGACGAGAGTACATTACACTCTAAACAGTATACCACAACGCACAATGATCAGGTTAGAAGGTCTACCCTTAACTGAGTATGCTAGGTTCTTGGTATGCTTGGCGCAACAGTCACATGACATCTGTCCACCCAAATTGTTCGTAATGTTTATCAAAGTTTCAGACTAAGTATTACGCAACTGTTAACAATGCGATCGTGCATGAGATGAGACTGTCACAGTTGCCCTGATTCTCGGATTGCATTGTGTGGCAGTGTAGCCAGCAACATCTTAAACGGAACTACACATTCAGTTATGGTAGTGTATATATTTAACAATGGCGTAATGTGACCAAATGCACCTGGTTTATAATGCATTATGGAACAATATTTACAGAGGGAACATTAACTTAGGGGTAAAAGAAAGTATATATGTTGTTTATTATGTATTTGGAAACTAAAATAACTATTATAAAACTTGATTCTGTATTTTAACAATGTATGGATGCGCACAAATTCAAATGCACACAATATCACTCCCTAGTCCTAAAACCCGACATATGTTAGTCAAGGCTAAAGATATATATATACTTATAAGTATCTAGTTAACAAATTGAATATGAAACATGTCATAGAAAATACCCAGAGGTGTAGATTCAGTTACTCCTCAGTCTATTGACTCTCATTCACTCAGGCCGATTTTACGTTGCACTGTTCCGTGACATGGCCCTTTTATGATAACATGCTCGTTTGCAGTAGAATTCTAGATGTTTTACCTGTCCATTGTCGACAGTTGTTTAATCTAAATGTACTGCTTGTTAATGTATAGTCCGAAAATCCGACATATGTCAGTCAAGGCTATAAATAAACATATCGCTAGACGACTGTTCACGCCTGCGTGTGTACACAAGTAAATGTAACAGGCAGGAAAGAAGGCTCACTCGAGTTAAGTTGTCATTCCCACGTTGATCACAGTACACAGGAACACTGACTTTGTTGCTCCAATAACATTATTACATATTGACCTAACATGCGTCAGGGCATGTTATGACCAAAGTGTGCTTGATAGTAATGAACTAAAGAGGAAAATAAGTAGCAGTGTGGATTGGCATATCTGGGAAATTCTATATGAGTTGTCATACAACTTCAAGAAAAGAGTTCCTTGCCATGAAAATACGTGTTCACCAAAGTGTGACTTGACTGTGACTTGATTTCTTTGTCAATAGTACATACTTAGAACATATATTGATAGTTCACAGGAATATGAGCACATTGTGACGACTCTGATTTGAAGTAATGTGTCTATCGGACCTGCCACTATTTGAGTGACCGCGTTGTGCATTGAAAGTATTTCAGTCATCTCTTATTTATATCTCAAAGACTGAGTGAGGCTTGTGCAGATGAGAGTGATCAACCACATCGTATGAAATCTCTGCTGAATGCCGACCCTTACCTACAAACAGAAGGCAAACGACGGATTAAATGTGTGGAAGAGATTATGTCACGTCCCCAGTAATATGACTGGTATAAAGCATTTTTTTTTTTAACACAATGAAAATACAACTTGGCCATGTAAGTGTTCAGCTTTGTACATGCAGCTAAAAGCAGGACACCGATTTATTGGATGACATAACATGTGGCTATCACGAATATCATATGTGTTTAATCAAAATATACCGACTGATTAAGATATCATGTAAATTAATGCATCGTATTTATAGCAATTATTGTATTATAAGTATAGAATATCAAGTATAATTTGAAATTCATATTTAGTTGTAATTTTCTGTATCAACACAAGTGATAAATATATGTTATACGTGAGATGCATTTACATAGACACAGAATACAATTGCAACTGTCTAAATGGAGTTGTTAATGAAAGGAAACACCAACATTATTCAAACAAAATATGTGTTGATTCATATATAAATGGTATTAGTGTTCAAATAACAACTGTATAAGCAACTCATTCTAGTTATTGTCAAGTGATATACAAGCCAGCCTGGTATTCACAAACTACATTTCCCATAACATTCAGAGTTTCACTTTATTTCCCTGTTATCATACATCTCACTGTTGCCTCAATCTGTCCCTTTCGAACATCGTGTTCACATTTTGTTAAGTTTTAACAGTTGTACAAGGACCAGCGTAGACAACGTACTATCAGTCGTCAGAACTGTAGGAATGCGTTTGCAGGGAGGCAACTCTGTCAACTCTCTCGGATTGTGGACATGGGACTTGGGGAATGAGAAACATCCCTATACTAATAACTTTTCAGTTTTACGAAAGAGACGGCAGTTAAGATACAGATATGGATACACTGTATGTGTGTGGATTTGTATGCGCCATGAGTATATAACCATGCAACAGGGATGAAATCTGTAACACTTCATCTGTTCGCGTTACTGGAGAGGGGAAACTATCACATCCTTATGTCCATCACAGGGCATCTAAGGGGCGTGGTTCGCGAGCTGGCCCTAGTGAAGAGTACACAGTACTGTGCTCTGTGAAAGAACCCACTAATCCTATAATATATGATACAGCAACGTGGACGTACAGTAAACTTGTACGAAGTACTGTGACTATGTGTCCTAGTCCACCCAGCTGTGAATGGGTACCTCGTTAGGATGAGAAAATTAGTAAACAATTAGTAACAATATTCAGAATTTCACAGCAGGGAATGTATGTAACCCAATTACTCGGGTTACAAAGGTGTGGCAGTGTTCACAAACAGGGAAGTAGATTACCTACCGAAACCAAGCTTTCAAATTAAACAGCCTAGTAATGATACAACCAAAGGGTAACGGAAGAAAGAAAGGAAATTAATCATGAATACTTCCTGTGTGTAGAGTCAGCAATTGGAGAATGCGGCATATATCACATTCAACAACAGATTCAGGACAAGATGCATTGGCACAGAAAAACCTATTACGTTTTTGTCACGGATGGGATACACTACATGACACCTACGATGTCTATTTATATCTTTACAAATGGCGTCTGATCCATCCAACCCCTACCTTACAGGAGAACATCAGCCCTTAAAGTGGAGGAGATTGTACACATTCTGAGGATTCCAGATGAGAACAAAGGTCATCCAGACAGCGCCCGCCACACCCCAGGGAGGGGGAGGTGTACCTCTACAAGATAACCTCACTTGAATGAGAGAAGGTGAGGCAGTTTTGTTCAGAATGAATGTTAAAATGAGGTAGGGATCGATGCGTAGACACAACCTAAATAGTCGACAGCAAGCATATATGACTTCTTATACAATCCGATATCAAAGGCTCGTTAAGCAGATATCATAAATATCCTTAAACACAACACACATGTTCACCAACATGTCATCAAGGTCACCCTGAAATGGTTTCTATGTATTGATAAACTACTGTATTCATGACTAAAGACGCTATAGCACGGATTTAGGGCATTACCTGAAGTAGGTTTCTTCGCTCTATATAAGGAGACATGATTGATATTTGAAGTAGGGATATAAATCACAAACTAATATAGTACAATTAGAATTTACACCTCTTTTGAAACGGTACATTAGTTCTCTTTCACAGGCGCAGTCCCTTCAATGTATGCCATTGCACATAACAAGGAAGGCAATTGTTGGATTGAAAGATAACCTCAATAAAATGTACATTGTTTATCATCTCGAGGAAGGAAAAGGGAAGTGAAGGGTTTGAAATCGAATACCAAGGACATGATAGTCATTATAACAACCATCCATGCAAAATAAAATGCTTGATCCAAAATAGAATACCATCAAATAATTTTGACTTCTGTGAACTTCGGTTATGCCGAACAAAGCTGAGTTTGCATTAAGGTTGTTTGATTCTGAAGTGAGGTTGCATTTTCTTAATATTCACATCTCTTTAGTTGAAACTAACACGCATAACGAACTATCCATCCATCCATCTTTTCCAATTCTATTTTAGATATCTGGAAGGACGACAGCTATCACTTCAGGAGTGATGGAACCCGGAAGCAGCCTGCCTCAAGTCCACTCATAGTGAAGCAAAAGTACCACAAGGCTTACACCAAGGACAAGATGACAACAAGGGCTTTGTAAGGGAAGCATCCTATCTGTACAGCCAGCCTGTGAAACACGTCCTTGTGCAGTACATCGGAGACCACACGCAGGCACAAGCAGCTCCTCAACGTCAGCGGTGTGGTCGACAACCACGTCATTCCCATGGTTCCCCGTAAATATTTGAAAGTTGAGTCAACTAAAGGAACTATGCAGTCGGGTGTTTCTGGGAAACAGCGATGCCACCCTGGAACTTGAAGGTCATTCATCACCAAAGGAACTTGAGGGAAAAGGAAATTTAAATACCGTAACGGTTTCAAGTGTTATATTGAATGATGCCAACCCCAGTATACAAAGTGTGTCGCGGACATCTGTCTATGAAACAGGTAACGATCATGACACAAACCAGAAACGCTGCAGGACTATGGATAATATAGGTGATGATGATGACATTGAATATTTGGTTTCAACATCAGGCTCCTCGGTTAAGAAACCCCGTTTACTGTCTCGAGCAGGAAGTGACAACACAGTTGTAAGCTATGACACTACCACTGACTATGCTTATCTGTACAGATTTCTTGAAAGAGTAGAAAGAACCGGGATGTGATAAAGGTCGTACAACGAATCCTGGAATTATCTAGGTTCTGGAACAAGGATGCTACCAACAGAAGCAATCCTTGCTGGACACTCATAGAAGAGGTAGAGAAGAAGTGGCCTCAAGATGCAATAAAAGCAAGGAACTGGTTAAAATGTTCTGTGAATACTGACGGTCTGAGCTTCAACCAAGACCGGTTAGTCTATATAAAGCTCATAGCTGCAGTGCTTGTTGGAGCGTGTCATACCAGGACTGAAGTACAGGACTTTGTGAAAACACTGGATGATCATCCATCACACCTACAGCATGTGCAGGACTGTACCCTGTCACGTGACTGTACATACACAGTTGGCTGCTACACCATCAGAGGAGATGTTCTGTCTGGCCTGGAAACCAACGAGTGGCTGACCGATGAAGTAAGAAAACTAGGTGATATACATAGGATTGTTAAAAAATATGAGCAGTTAAACATCTAAGACAAGGGTTTCATAGCGCAGTTTAACTCTTTCTTCATAAAAACAATTAAGGATATTAAAAACATATATTATGATTGTCAACAGGTCGTCAATAGAAAGGCCATCTCTAAAAAGGAAACCTTTGACTACCACACGTACAATCTTGTACGTGAACCATGTAATTACTCCATGCTCGTGGGTATGGGGGTCATTCGTGATACTGACATTTCAGTGATAAGTCTTCAAATAGTCCAACGCTTAAGCTCTCTACTATTGCTTCCATGCCGTATTTGTGATGACATTAGGACGTCTGGAACGTGTTGAACGACAAAGAGCTATTGGCATGATAGAAGCTGGTAGAACCCAGATGACATTAGGGCGTCTGGAACGTGATGAACGACAAAGAGCTATTGACATTATAGAAGCTGGTAGAACCCAGGTGACATTAGGACGTCTGTAACGTGATGAACGACAAAGAGCTATTGGCATGATAGAAGCTGGTAGAACCCAGGTGACATTAGGGCGTCTGGAACGTGAACGACAAAGAGCTATTTGCATGATAGAAGCTGGTAGAACCCAGATGACATTATGACGTCTGTAACGTGTTGAACGACAAAGAGGTATTGGCATGATAGAAGCTGGTAGAACCCAGGTGACATTAGGGCGTCTGGAACGTGTTGAACGACAAAGAGGTATTGGCATGATAGAAGCTGGTAGAACCCAGGTGACATTAGGGCGTCTGGAACGTGTTGAACGACAAAGAGCTATTTGCATGATAGAAGCTGGTAGAACCCAGTAAGAGGTTGGCTGGTATGTACATTTGTCCCAATTTGTGGTTAACTGTCTTTCAAACAGGTGTGTGCACTCACAAATGGTAATGAATGATTATATCGCTGTCCACTTGCACTAGGCTGTCCCCCTATGGCCGAGTCACGTAACTGATTAAACGAGTAGAACTTGTCTGCATGCTGCTGACGTGTTCGACCACATGTTGTCCCACCGTCAGCAAATCAATATATTTGCAATAGACGCCAACTAACTATGCTTAGATCGTAAAATCTGGACGAATCGCCAATGATCCATACTCACGAGTGCTGAGTGAGTGAGTGAGTGAGTTAAGATTTAAAGTCACATCGGCAATATTTCAGCCATATCGTGACTAAAACTAGTTCTAAATTTGTAATACAGACATGTAATATATAAAACCCTGTCAACGAAGGACAGTAAAAATACTAGATAATCACAGCTATCAATATAAAACTAGCGAGCAAAGCTAAAACATTCCAATTAAAGAAGACAATACATTGTAAAAATGGGCTATAGATCACCAACAACTGAAGGTAGATCACCATACTAGGGACCATGGGGACTTACTGTGCCTTTGTTACCTGCATGGACCCTAGCTGGATTTACACCATCCCTTCAGCCATTGGCCACGAGTGCTGAGTGAGTGAGTGAGTTTAGTTTTACGCCGCACTCAGCAATATTTCAGCCATATAGTGGTGGTTTGTAAATAATCGAGTCTGGACCAGACAATCCCGTGATCAACAGCATGAACATCGATCTGATAATCATGAATTTAGTACAATGGATTATATCTACAGTGATACATGTCGTATATGGGTGAGTGAGTGAGTTATTATTTAACGTCACATCGGCAATATTTCAGCCATATCGTGAAGAGAACATTCGATATTGAAATGAAATACATGTATGTTATAAAAAACCTGCCAACGAAGGACAGTAAAACAACTAGAATATCACAGATATGTATGTAAAACTAGTAAGTAAACTAAAATATGGTACTTTTAAATGACAATACAATATAAAAACGTACTATAGATCGCCAACAACTGAAGGTAGATCACCATACCAGGGACCATGGGGACTTACGTTACTTTTGCTACCAACAGAGGACGTTGTCGTATTGGCCAGTTGCAAGATCATTATATAATTCTATAATTTCTATTAAAAGTGGATGTTTACAAGAAATATTTTTAATCGCCTGAAGGCAAGAAAGAGAGTCAGAAAATATGATACATTGTTTATATTTAGGGTGTCTATTTATATATTTAAGAGCTGTTAGTATTGCGTTTGCTTCTGCTGTGAAAATTGAACTGTCATTGGGTAATCTGGAAGAGATTGTTTTGGACCCAATGACAGTGGCACAAGCAACCGCGCCACCATCCTTGGACCCATCTGTAAATAACGATTTATATGTATTATATTTACTTTTTAACTGATTATATTCTTGTTTATATTGTAAGTAATTTGTTTCTGATTTTTTAAACGACGTTAATGTTAGGTCGACTTGGTCTAACCAATCGCCAAGGAGGAGAGAGAAAGAAGTCGGGAAGGAGTTATATTTTCCAGCTCAATGCCGGCAGCAGGAATGAATGGCTTAATCCTGAGCCCAAAAGGCGGAACAAGAGAAGATTTCTTGTTGTACAAATCCTCATAAAGAGGATTAAAGACACAGTTGAATGCAGGGTTAGACTCGTTAGAATAAAGTTTTGTTATATACTGCAAGGAGAGTTTTATACGGCGTTGTGTAAAAGATGGTTCATCTGCCTCGACGTAAAGGCTGTCAACAGGAGAAGTTCTGAAGGACCCAAGACAAAGTCTCAGACATTGATGGTGGACTGAATCTAAGAGTTTTAAGTTTCTTTTACAGGCTCCACCATATACGATGGAGCCATAATCAAGCTTCGAGCGGACAAGTGATCTGTTAAGGTGTAGGAGCGTAGCTTGATCCCCTTCCCACCTTGAATTAGACACGACTTTCAATAAATCGAGTGCCTTCAGGCATTTAGTTTTTAGGGATTTAATATGCGGAAGAAAGGTTAAATGGGAGTCAAAAATCAGACCCAAGAATTTGGCCTCTTTTACAACCTTGATGGGAGTGCCATTTAAAAAAAGTTCTGGGTCTTTATGTGGTTTATATTTACGGCAGAAATGTATGCAATTAGTTTTTGATTTAGAAAATTTAAAGCCGTTTTCCAGACACCATTTATTTAATTTGTTTAAACACAACTGTAGTTGCCGTTCGATAGTATACATATTCTTACCGCGACAAGAAATGTTAAAATCATCCACAAAAAGTGATCCATTAATTGAATCATTTAAAACCTTGGATAAACTGTTGATCTTAATACTAAACAATGTTACAGACAAAATACTGCCTTGTGGGACACCCTGATCCTGATTATAATGGGCAGACAGGGTTGAACCCACTCGGACTTGAAATTGCCTGTCTTTTAAAAACTGTGATATGAAAAGAGGTAAACGACCCCTCAAACCAAAATCATGTAAATCCTTCGAAATGCCATTCTTCCAGGTGGTATCGTATGCTTTCTCAAGATCAAAGAAAATCGATACAGCATGTTGTTTATTAACTATTGCATTTTTTACAAAGTATTCTAAACGTACCAAATGATCAATGGTACTACGATTTTTCCTGAAACAACATTGAATGTTGGTTATAAGGTTATTGATTTCCAGATACCATGTCAATCTATTATTGACTATTCGTTCCATGGTTTTACAGACACAACTCGTTAAAGAGATTGGTCTGTAATTAGACGGATCAGTATGATCCCGGCCAGGCTTTGGAATAGGAACAACAATGGCATCACGCCACGAAGTTGGGAAATTCCCTGAAGTCCATATTTGATCAAAAAATTCTAAAAGGATTTCTAAAGTTGAATATTATCAGCTCCTGTTGCTGTATCGTGAGCTTGCTCAAGGGCGGTATGGAGCTCATGTAACGAAAATAGTTCGTTATAATCTTCACCATTGTCTGAGTTAAAATTTATTCTTTTCTTCTCCTGTTGTTTCTGATACGTTTGAAACTCAGGGACATAATTAGATGAAGATGAATGCTTGGCAAGAGTTTCACCAAGTTTATTTGCAATATCAGTTTTATTAGTCAAGAAATTATCACCGTCCTTCAAATGATGAACGGTAGATTTGGAACCTTTGCCCTTTATTCTTTGGATCATGTTCCACACCTTTGACATAGGTGTACGTGAATTTATTTTAGAAACATAATGTCGCCAAGACTGACGCTTATTTTGTTTAAAAGAACGTCATTAGTAATTTTGACCTTGTCTAGATTATGGACAGTAGGGTGTTTGCGAAAATATTTTTCGGCCTTTTCCCTACATTTCTGGCCTGTTTGCATTCATTATTAAACCATGGTTTACGAACATGCGGAATTGCAGAGGACTTAGGAATTGTTTTGTCAGCAATGTGATTAAGTATATCCGAAGAAGACTGTATAGGATCTTTACTGTTCCTAAAAAAATCATGCTGCAAGTGTTCAACACACAGTTTCTCATATAATGACCAATCCGCCCTGGCGAAATTTCTCCTTGATAAAGGTGGATCATCACCAGGGCTGATTGTTTTGAGAATGGTAGGGAAGTGGTCACTCCCACATAGGTCATCATGGACCATCCATTCAAATTCATTATACAAGTTTGAGTCAGCGAGACAGATCAGGGAAGAATAAGTTCCCGTAGCTGGATGAAGATAAGTGGCTGAATCATCATTCAAAATACATAAATTATTATCGGAAATGAAATCCTCAATAATTTTACCTTTAGTATTAGTATGGACACTACCCCAAAGCGGGTTGTGTCCGTTCAGATCACCCATGATGAGACATGGCTTTGGCAGCTGATCATACAGATTTTGCAGATCCGACAGTCGGATATCAGAAGATGGAGAGACATATAAACTGCACAGCGTCAACGCAATGTGCATAGTCAGACGAACAGCTACAGCTTGGAGATTGGTATTAAGAGGGACAGGGCTATGTATGATGCCCTGCTGTACCAAAACAGAAGCACCACCAGTTGCTTTATCTCCTGGCGGAGAGAAGCAATGCTAATCACTGTATTGTCGCAAATTGAATGAGTCCGTATTTTTTATATATGTCTCCAGGAACATATAATGCTGAAGGTTTAAAATCCTGTAATAACAATTGTATCTCATTGAAATTATTCTTTAGCCCTCTGCAATTCCATTGAATTAAATTGGCCAACTGAGTCATGGTGGCTCAATTGGCGATCTCGCTCTAGAATGGGAGTTGGGTAAGCTCCTCCGTCTGTCCTGTGAGTACGGAGTAACCTCCATATCTAGAGGTCCAAACGAGTTTTGTGTTAGAACCCTCTGAAGGTGATGAGACATTAGGCGATTTGTCTCTGTTTAGTTTTTTTCCTTTCTTCTTCTTTGGTTGATCTCCAGCTGGTTTAAGAGCTGAGGATTGTAACTGTGTAGAGAGCTGACCTTCTGTCTGGGATCCAAACGTAGACTGGGTGACTCGGGAAGTTGGTGGAATAAGTCATTGATGTAACTGGTTTTTCTGACTTGACCCAAGTCAAGTCAGTCTGACATGCAGTTGAGGACACCGCTACAGAGCGGGATACTGCAGCTGAATAAGTGATATTCTGAGGGGTTGAAGGCTGATTATTGAAAAAAAAATTCGCATCAAGGTAGGGAATATTCTTTTCACATTTTATCTTCATAATTTGTGATTCCCTTTGATACACGGGGCAGGACCTGGATGAAGCAGAATGTAGGCCATTACAGTAAGCGCATTTGAAAGTATTCTGACAATCTGCACCATCATGTTTGTCCCTACAACGGTGACAAACTGCAGAATTACGGCATGAGTAGGTTCCATGACCAAAATGCTGACACTTGTAACACCGGAGTGGATTGGGGATATACACATCCACCCCGATGTTAAAGTAACCTGCCTTGATCGACTGGGGAAGAGCTGATCTGGCAAAAGGCAAGAGATAGGTGTTGTTTTTTATTATTTTCCCTTCTTTTTTGATCGTAAAACGCTTCACCGCTGTAACAGCCTGATCTTCAAGCTCTGCAGCTATCTCCTCCTCGGACATGTCAAAGAGACAGCGAGCCCTGTCTCGTATAATGCCACGGCAAGAATTGAGAGTCCTGTGCACGGACACAGTAACCTCCACATTTGCAAATGTTTTGATGGATAAAAGATTTAGAGATTGCTGTTTCCGTGCGCACTCCACCAGAAGTGAACCACTACGGAGCCGGGTGACATTTTTAACCTCACCACATATCCCATGGATAGCTTTGGATATGGCAAATGGATTTAGTTTTATTGGTAGAAAATCCGAAGCTTCAATTACTAGGAAACGAGCCCATGAATCAATGTTTGGCGAATTTGTTTCAGTAGAGTGATCAAGTTCGTCTAGTCGTCGCTTTTTCTCGTATCGAGATGAACCAGCTTGTTGGGATGCCGTCATGAAAGGAAAAGTATTCAACACCCCTGCTCCCCACCCACCATGGAGTGTCAACAAGGACGGTGTCAAAGAGCACCGGATATCCAAGATGCTGACACCAGGGATACAGGGGTGTTATACTCCAGAGACAACGACACAAATAGCTATATTTATCTACCAAATCAATGTCAGGCTGGTTCGACCCATGACAATAAATTGGAGACATACATCATTTGGAGGTCATTATCACCAGATTGGCCCATGAGCCACCGCCTTCTGGCATAGAACTCTAGGCAAGTTAACATAATAATTTGAACATTGAGGGATAAAAAATAACCAAGGCCCAGAAATAAGCAAATGTGCATATAATAGATTCACCATGCACAGGGCTTGGCGTGACCAGCCGATTGATAGAACCGGGCCAGTTCTACCGCCCGTCTAGGTGAAGTAAGGGCCAAAGTGGTGTGTTGGGCAACAGGAACACGGTTCCAGGATCCTATTGCCCTCAACCACCAGAATCCCGTCCACCACCGACACAGGGGCGCAACCCACCTCAAACAAGTTGGTGGACCAAATATGCCCCCAGGTTCATCACGGGGGGGTTGAAGGGCGCTTAGCGTTACCCAGCACCCACCACGAGGAGGTGGCCCTTCATGGGTGCTTGTCGTATATGGACATTGGTTACTAGTTCTAACACATCATCAGTACATCGTCAGTCTTTAGTTACAAGAAACGCATTGTCCTGTTGAAAGACATGCACTGTGCAGCTGAGCCTGCTTTGAATCCAACAACAAAGTTTCACTTGAGCCCTAAGCACTGGGTCCTTAATCTGTACAATAAATATTCTAATAAATCCCAACTCTTACCTAAACAGATCATGGACACCTACCTGCACCTTCTGGAAAGAGAGTGGTGTTCCCGTGTCAGCTTCCACTGCTTGGTGCTGCCTACAGAGACAGTGATATTGTGGGAGGCAGGCCGGTACACAGAGAGGATAAGGGGGAAAGATGTGAGTAATGTGAGATTACATCATTAAACCTTGCACTGCGATTTTTCTTTTTTCAAGAGCAACATTGCATGACCACTGAACCAATTGCGTTGTCAAAGTCGAGACGATTATTATTTGTATAGTAATTGTACAAATGTTAACGCAAGTATTTTCCTGACTTCTAAAGAAAGACGTATCGACTGAGTTGCTTAATGTGTAATTCTGTTAAAGATGTATGTGCGCAATTGTGATGATCTGTGATCATATGAATCAGTAACATGCGCTGCACTATTTCCCTTGAATTTAGTCAAACCGTTTGATTGATTGTAGCCTACTTTATCATAATGATATTTGTTTTCACATTTGTGTCAAAGTCGGGTACAGACGCAGAAAGATTCATCAGATAGATTATGTATATTTCCTCCGAAGTCGAAGATACAACAGGTTGTAACATAGGTGTTATATATAAATATATATATGTATTTACAGGTTACAGAGTGGGATAATCAAAATTAGAATAGGTATTTTAGTTGATGTAGCAAGGATTTTACAGAGCTTGCGATTGATCTTTTACATTTATACCACATTTCTTGTTGAAGCTCTTGAGCATATACATTTGGTAGACCATAAATGAGACAAATAGGTCTTCATCATTCAATAAACTGACAAAAAGTGTCAACATCTAGCATGTCAACTAGTGACTCAGTCAAAGCGTTTCTACTACTTTGTATGAGAATAAAGTGTAGAAAGACATGTTTTACAATATCATAGGCAACCATGCCTCATTCACACTCAAGAACACCGAATGCTCAGTGTGCTGATACGTAAAAGAGCAGCAATATTATTGAAACACTCCGGCATTTTATAGCATGCAGACCATAGTCTGTGAGCATTTTTAGGATATGTTATCTTCTCAACCTCGTTGCACAAGCAACACATGAATCCTCAGCTTTAAGTATTCTAGGTCATACATTGTGACAAGATTGAGCATGTGGAAGATTGGCAATGACTTGCTATATCGCTCTTTCTCCAGTGATGAAGTCTATCTGTACTGACAGACTCTATGCACAGGCACTTTCTTAAAGACAAATTCAGTATCGATGTTACATAATTTACCGAGAAATAGCTAGGACTTCTGGTGCGTATATCTTCGTAGTGTGACCAGGGAGAGACTGTCTCTGGCTATTGTGGATGATCCACGTTTTCAAACATTTGCCATGTCCAGAGTCAACGAATCTGTGAAGTAAGTCGTTTATATATAGAGTGAAGAGCCAAGCTGATAAGACACGACCCTGACCCACGCCCTGTTTTACATCGAATACTTTAGAAATACAGCCACCAGTGCTACCACATGATTTCATTGATGTGCACATTGCGTATAGAGTCACCATAGTTTACCTCGAATTCCGAAACTGTAAAGCTTATAGAAAAGTCCATTCAACCAAACTCTCTCAAATGCTTTCTCATTATCAAGGAAGGCACAATAAACTGGTGAATTGTTTTCGACAAAGTAGGCAATATTTTCAGTTAGAGTAAGCACTGCCGTTTCCGTCCCCGCACCCTTCCTAAATCCAAACTGGAGAGGGTGAAGGAAATTGTTTTCTGCTTTTGTCCATGTTTTCAATTCTTTTGAGCAGTAATCTTTCAAAAAAGTTTGAGAGCACAGGCGTAAGAGTGATGCATCTATCATTACATGGATCATGCTTGCTTTTACCATTTCCTTTGTGAATTGGTAAAACATTACCAACACTAAATGCATTTGGTTACAGATTCAAACGATACAATGGCATTGAATAGTGATACAATAAGATCAATAACAGATCAACCACCATACTTTATATGCATGTATGAAATACCATCTGAGCCTGGAGATGTGTTGTTTTTAAGACGTTTCACGGTGTCAAGTACATCATCTTTAGTAAACGGGGAGAGAAAGACTGAATCACTGTCGTCATTTACAGGGTAATATACAACATCTTCTACAAACTTATCAACGTGCTCTGTAAATCCAGTATCAAAACATTCTGCATTCTGAGGTACAGACAAATCTCTAATGTTCCTGGCAAAGAGATTACATACACCTACCTGCGTGTTACAGGAGTCATCGTTATAAGTTAGAGACTGTGTTTGCTCTCTCTTTTGCAACTCTAAGGTATTCTTGGATGTCTACCTCAGCTACTTGGTAACTTTCCTCAAATGTTTCATTTCTGTAACGTTGCTTAGCTGAACGGTGGTTTCTTCGAAATGCATGTTTGGCATGTTTATATTCAATAAAATATTTGTCATCTGAACTGTGGCTTTTGCCGTTAGAATTCCAATTTTTGCTGCAAATACGCACATGGTCATGATGTTATTTAAGTTCATACTTCCTCCACTATAGCTTTGATTGTACTTGGAATTTTAATTGGGAATTGCAAGTATAGTTGCAGCATGTAGACATTCTGTGATATAACTATTGTGATACTCGTTGTACGGAGTTTGCTAACAAACACAAAAGCACGTGCTTGCTCCATTATGTTGTGTTATAAAGTACGAAATGTTTTGCACTATGTCCAAATATGGTATGTGTTCTAGAACCACTTCTTACATCAGAGGGTGAAACATTCCAGACATCTAAATGTCGTTACAGCACACATTATGAACTTCCTCTCAAACGTAACAGAAATACATGTAAAACAATTACAATGTTTTCTAGTATATTGCTCTACCATCAAAATGCTCTACCATCAAAATATGCTAATCCGACATGGTAAGGCATTGCTGTGACCTTTCAGGAGAATTTGGCAAACTACACGTGGATCTTGATGCCAGTAAACATGCCACGTAATCAACACTGGGTGCTTCTGGTGGCTAATGTCAAGGATGGAACAGTGGGGGTAGTCAATTCTAAACCAGCTTTAGATGTGGAGGACTCAGTTGTGACACACTGGAGGTGGGTAGACAGACGAGTGGGTGTAGTCAATTCTAAACCAGCTTTAGATGTGGAGGGCTCAGTTGTGAGAAACTACAGGTAGGTAGACAGAAAAGTGGGTGTAGTCAATTCTAAACCAGCTTTGGATGTGGAGGACTCAATTGTACAACACTCGAGGTAGGTAGACAGAACAGTGGATGTAGTCAATTTTAAACCAGCTTTAGATATGGAGGACTCAATTGTACAACACTGGAGGTAGGTGGACAACCCAGATGATGTAGTCAATTCAAAACCAGCTTTAGATGTGGAGGACTCAAATGTACAACACTGGAGATAGGTAGACAGCACAGTGGGTGTAGTCAATTCTAAACCAGCTTTAGATATGGATGACTCAATTGTACAACACTGCAGGTAGGTAGACAGAACAGAGGTTGTAGTCATGCACTGCTGTATTTGCCCTCCTCTCCATATTAACTTTAACCACAATCCACAAAAGCTGAAGAAGTTGCCATCCAGAAATACACATCTTTTCCCCAGGTCATTTGTAAATCACTGGAAATCTACATCCGGGAAAGTGGGCAAACCGTGGATGAAGAAACAATACCTAGTGATAGACCAGGCTGATGGACACAATTGTGGGATATTCGTCCTCATGGTAGGTTGGTTTATAGACACATATGTACGCCATGCGCTACTAAGGTCGACTTGTACTATGGCAGCGGTCATGCCACAGGGGCTCAATTTCCATCAACTATCGTCAATTCATGACCATCAGTTGAAATTGGAATATCAACATTGGTTGTATGTGCCCTCTTTCAAATGACTGCCTTATGGCTGACTCCACCTAAAGTGTCACTGCTCCAGGCAGTGTCACTGTTATTGACAAGGTAGCAGATGTCTCATACAGGGATTGTTGGAGAGTTGAGGGATATCATCATTGACACACAGTTCGTTCATGTTGAGATCTCACCAACAAAGCACATGTGATATAATCAAAACCTCATAAAATGTTCATGTGAAAACCAACGGGTGTGTTTAATAACTACGTATATAAAGAGCCTTTAAAAGTTTTTTAGCCTTCATATCATCAGGCTGCTGATGCCCTTTTGGCGGAGACGTCTCCAGGAATCATGAGGAACTACCACGCAGAGAAGTACAGGTTGTATGTACTACAGAGGATACTGCAGCATGCCAAGACGGATATGCAAAGAGGAGGAAATCACACCTTGGGAAGTGGATGTCACAAACAATACTCAACATTCTGAGACTGTGACGGAAGGAAATCTACTTGAAAGAAGCTATACAACAGAAACAAAACAGGGTCAAGTCATTGAAACAGTTGTACAACATCATGACACTTTTGACGAATCCGACGGTGCTATGGTCACTGATAAAGGTATGTATAGTGAAGGGAATACGACCAACATTAGGTATAAAATTGTAAATAGCGATGTGATATTCTATTCTAAATATGTCTATACATGCAATACACTCCTCTCATACAACGGTAATGTATATTTACAGATGCAGATGAATACCCATGTCTCAATGAACACCTGTCACAGAAGCAGTTAATGGCATGTTTGTTAATTGTTGCTTTGGCGGGGAATAACCTGAAGAAGAGGTTGCTGTGGGCAGATTCTGACACAGGAACAAGAGTGGAAAGAGAAACCTACAAGCGATACATTGCTTGGGCGCTCAAGGTTTTCGACATCAATGGAGACACATACACTAAGAAGATGATACAAAATGATTTAAAACAATTGTCAGGATGCTGTCTATGTCAAGAGGCTGGATCATACAGAATAAGAAACCAAAACGTAGCAATAAGGCTGAGAGACCTACTGCTCAGCGATCTGAGACAATCGATTGCAAAGATGGACTTGGAGTTTGTATTTAGTTATGTGAGTTTAAGAGCTGAATCCACTGAGGTGGAAGAAATAGATATCCCCTTCAAAATTGAATTGAAGCAAGATGATGTGCCTGTTGTAGCTCAACGTTTTGCGGCAGCCATACAGGGCAAAGAGTTTGCTTTTGTGTGCATGCATTCTCTCTTTCAGGAACAGACATTTGTCGATATGGTCTTTGAGAATCTGGTGCAAAATCTGAACAAGGACTATTCTACCCTCTTGAAATTATTGTCCAGTAATGACACTGTACATGGACAGTCCTTTCTGTTTTGGACGAGCATTACAGACAACTCGAAATTGTTGCGGAAGGCTTTGTCCACTGTTCAATTTAGTGTACATAACAGAAAGCAAGCTTTGTTTGGAAGTTGCTTTGGTAGTAGTTCAGACAACTTCAATTACTTGCTTTCCGAATGTAATTGTAAGTTGAATAAGTTGTGTATGACATTGCGCAATCTTCCAAGACCTCTTATCATCAAACTGAAATTGGAAGTTGTTGATGATCTAGGGGTGAAGTTTGACAATATTTCCTTGCTTGACATTGCCTGTATGAGTGGATTGTCTGCAGTGGCTTCCAGACTCTTGCATGTAACGAAGGCAATGAACTTGAACAGGTCAAGAAAGGCAACATATGTACATTATGCATCTATGTGCCAAAGGGGAAGCAATATTATCGGTACAATTATACAGATGGGACTTTCTAGCATAAAGATCATAGGTCCGGGAGGATCAACACCTTTACATTATGCATGTGCAGTAGGAAATGTTGGAATTGTAAGCATTTTGTTGCAGGAAACAGTGGATACTGGAAAGCGAAACATGAGGGGGGAAACTGGGCTTCATTTGGCATGTTTATATGGGAATGTAGAAGTTGTTAAACTGTTATTACAAACCAAAGTAACAGCAACTGAGACAGATAACGATGGCAGCACACCTCTACATGATGCAGCCTGGCAGGGACATACAGAGGTTGTAGAAGTGTTATTAAAGAACAAGGCAAATGTGGATGCAGAAACGTCCTGATGGCGACACACCTCTACATGATGCAGCCTGGCAGGGACATACAGAGGTTGTAGATGTGTTATTAAAGAACAAGGCAAATGTGGATGCGAAACGCGATGATGGTGGCACACCTCTACATGATGCAGCCTATCAGGGACATACAGAGGTTGTAGAAGTGTTATTGAAGAACAAGGCAAATGTGGATGCGAAACGTCCTGATGGCCGCACACCTCTACATGATGCAGCCTTTGAGGGACAAACAGCCTGGCAGAGGTTGTAGAAGTGTTATTAAAGAACAAGGCAAATGTGGATGCGAAATGCGATGATGGTGACACACCTCTACATGATGCAGCCTTGCAGGGACATACAGAGGTTGTAGAAGTGTTATTGAAGAACAAGGCAAATGTGGATGCGAAACGTCCTGATGGCCGCACACCTCTACATGATGCAGCCTTCCATGGACACACAGAGGTTGTAGAGGTGTTATTGAAGAACAGGGCAAATGTGGATGAGAAAAGCGTTGATGACTGCACACCTCTACATGATGCAGCCTTGCAGGGACATACAGAGATTGTAGAAGTGTTATTGAAGAACAAGGCAAATGTGGATGCGAAACGCAATGGTGTCCGCACACCTCTACATGATGCAGCCTTGCAGGGACATACAGAGGTTGTAGAAGTGTTATTGAAGAACAAGGCAAATGTGGATGAGAAAAGCGTTGATGGCCGCACACCTCTACATGATGCAGCCATGGCAGGGACACTCAGAGGTTGTAGAAGTGTTATTGAAGAACAAGGCAAATGTGGATGCGAAACGCGATGATGGCGACACACCTCTACATGATGCAGCCTTGCAGGGACATACAGAGGTTGTAGAAGTGTTATTGAAGAACAAGGCAAATGTGGATGCGAAACGCGATGATGGTCGCACACCTCTACATGATGCAGCCTATCAGGGACATACAGATGTTGTAGAAGTGTTATTGAAGAACAAGGCAAATGTGGATGCGAAACGTCCTGATGGCCGCACACCTCTACATGATGCAGCCTGGCAGGGACATACAGAGATTGTAGAAGTGTTATTGAAGAACAAGGCAAATGTGGATGCGAAACGCGATGATGGCCGCACACCTCTACATGATGCAGCCTGGCAGGGACATACAGATGTTGTAGAAGTGTTATTGAAGAACAAGGCAAATGTGGATGAGAAACGCGATAATGGCAGCACACCTCTACATGATGCAGCTTGGCACGGACATCAAGGAGTTGTTAAGGTGCTGTTGAAAAACGGGGCTAATGTCCATGAGAAGGATTGTAATGAAGAAACTGCTTTACAGAAAGCAAAGGCGCGTTATTACGATGACATCGCAAAGGACTTTAATCGAGGGAGGGCATGAAGCAAATAAGCATGACCTGACACCGAACTTTGGTTCAGTTCCACACGGAAGCTATACTGGCAGTGGTCTTCTTATACCGGCACAACCATCAGCACATTGTCTTTATCATAAACCCCTTCACATCTGTGTCACCGAGCTTTGTCCTTCAAGTGTGCGACCATCTTTGTTCTTTTCAACAACGCTGTCTCTGTATGTCCGTGCCAGGCTGCATCATGTGGTGTTGCCATCAGGCGTTTCTGTTGCTGCTGTTCTTTCAATAACACGCTTCTACTGGCACATCTGTGTCCTGATAGGCATCTCTTCAGAGGTGTGCGACCATCATCTGCCTTGATTCTTCAACTTAACGCCTACCCGACTTTCTGTCCTGCAGGCTTTACGCTCATCTTAACAATAGCGTTTCGCATCACATTTGCTGTTCCCTCTACGGCTTCGATCTCCTGCTGCATCGCGGCTCGCTGGTTAACGCTTTCTCATCTGCCGTTCTTCAATAACACCTCGCTTCTGTGTGTCCATGCAGGCTTTCCGTGATGGATTTCGATGCGTTCGCATCCACGTTTGCTGAATTAATATTAACGCTTCTGCAATCTTCTGTATGTCCCTGCAGGCTTTGCGTCTGTGAGGTGATGCGTCATCGGCTTTTTCTCATCACGTTGCCCTGTTGTGTCTGCAACCTCTGTGTGATCCCGTGAACGACCATCGGAAGTACGTTTCGCAGCTCCATTTGCCTTGTTCTTCGGCCCTTCTTCAGCTGACTCACGAACTGCGTCGTCGCTGAAGTTGATATGCCATCATCGCGTTTCATCACGACGCGTTCTGTTTGTCCTCAAAGGCTGGAGATGATGCGCCGTCGGCGTTTCTCCGCTGATTCTTCAATAACGCTTCTCTGTATTGATCCCTGATGAGCTTTGCGTCATGGAGATGACGCCATCATCGCGTTCACGTACGACTGCTGATTAACGCATCTGCGAGCGTCTGGCCGGGCTTTACGTCAGGAACAAACGATAGCCGTCGGCATTTCGCCTCGCGAACAATGGATCGATGTTCAGTTCGGTTAATCAAATATCCTCGTCAATCAGATGTCGGTCTATCGTCAATCGATCAACTTTCCCCTTGACGCTCGCGCCAATATGTTGCTGTGACCTGTTCCGGTTCGTCGTTACATGCAGGTAAACTGCGCGAACAATCGCCGGGCGATGTCGAAACGAAGTGTTGTCGAGCTTTCGCCCCTGATCCGGCAACTCACGATTTCGGATGGAGATTAGCGGAGAATTGCTGATGTCATACGCAACTTATTCGGCTTTACGGTGCATTCGGAGAAACGAAATTTGAAGTTGTGCGGACTGCAGGTACGGCTTCCCGAACGAAAGCGCTTGATACGTAACGCTAGGTGAACGATTGGACCTTCGCAACATTTCGGTTGTATATTAACTCGTTGGCTGAAGGACTGATCGTAACGTGTCATTACTGGCGATAATTTCGGGGCAGAACGGTCGCTGTTCGGGCCGCCAATTCTCCCGAACCGCTAATCGACGAATGTCTGTTCCTGAAACCGTAGTAGGCGCCCGCCGAACGTTCGATTACGACGAGCGTCACGCTTCAATTCAATTTTGAGTCTTTCTTCCGCACTCGATAACTAAACTCGCATGGCTAAATACGAACTCCGGAATCCATCTTTGCGATCGTTATTCTTCGAATCGCGAGCAGTAGATCTCTCGGCTTTGTATTAACTTACGTTTTGATTTTCAACGATAATGATCAACCCCTCTTGAACAACGTCGTCATTTTGCGTCATTCCATCGCTGGCAGTGTACAAGCTCGATCTTCCATTGATGATAGAAAACATGACGAAAAACAATATTGACGAACCTACGACGATGAGATCTGCCCGCGTAACCCTCTTCGGTTATTCCCCGCCCGAAACACCGGTCAAACGTGCCGTTAACTTGTTTGGTGTTCGACAATGAATTAAATCTTCCATCATAAATGCTCATTGCTGATTGTATGAGGAAGAATTGTGCGTATGAACGTATTTGGAAGCCAGAACTGTCATCTTCATTTGTACCCCAATGTTGATTGGTATTCCCTTCGCTATACGCGCATCGTGCGTCGATTCAGGTCGAAATGTCGTATTGTACGGCTGTTTCATTTACGACTGTTTTTGTTTCGTTGTGCTTCTTTCGAAATTAGTTTCGCTTCGTCTGATCTCGATATCGGTATTGTTGTGACGACGGAATATTGATTTCTCATATTTGCATCGCGACATACGACCTGTGCTATACCGCGTGTTGGTCATGATTCTGGATTCCGCCAAAGGAACGTCGACGACTGGCTGATATGAACAAAACTTTAAAGGCTCTTTTATGCTACAGTTACGGTAGGCTTGCACTTATACGTGAACGACTTTGTGAGGTTTTGACCATCATCGCGTATTTGTTGATGGTATATTGATCGATATCCTCAAATACCGGTCTGGCGGACGTCTTACTGTGATCGGCTGTGGCGCGCAGACGACACTTTTAAGGTGGTCGACCAGGCGTCGTTTTGTAACCAATGTTGACTGATCATTTCGGCGATGATTAAGTAGTCGACGATGGTGATGATTGACGTAGACCTTTATGAGTCATTGGCAATGGCGCGTGACTTTATGTGACGCAGCCGTAACGATTATTGATAAATAAACTGATCCCCTCATAACGAATATTGAACAACACAAATCGCGATTGCCCTTTCCCCGGATGGTTTCGATACGGAGAAAATTATTCTTCGTTTCTGGATATTCTAAACTTTCGATGGACCGAAAGGCCAATGGAACAATCTGGCTGGTGCGTATTGACTTGTTCTCTGCTACGGTTACGATTGATTGGTTTGGAAACTGCGCCCGCTGTGCTGTCTTACCTCTTTCGGTGTTATTACGGTCATCTGCTTCGGTTTTGAGTCGTTTTATCTGGGTTGTCCTCCGGTGTTAACACTGATCGATCTCCATATCTAAAGCTGGTTTAAAACCGACTGCATCCCACGTTTTGTCTACCTCGGTGTTGTACTGGTGGTCCTCCACGTCAAAGCTGGTTGTGACTGCGCCCTTTCTGTCTGCCTGCAGTTTCTTCGAGCTATCCCGTCTGAAAACTGTTTGGTGACTACGCCCTTCGTCGTCTACCACGCTCCGGTGTCACCAACTTGTCCTCCATCTAGCTGGTTTGACT